TGAAGGTGCACGGGAGTTTTTTTGATTTTTGGATTCAGTAAATTAGAGTGGCGAACAAAGGAGTCACTCTAATTATTGACAAATGATTAGTGTTGCGACTGATAAGCGCCTATCTGGCTGCTATTTTTTACTCGTTTAGCGCCCTATTGTGGCTGCTATTTTTTACTTGTTTAGCGCCCTATTGTGGCTGCTATTTTTTACTTGTTTAGCGCCCTATTGTGGCTGCTATTTTTTATTTGTTTAGCGCCCTATTATGGCTGCTGTTTTTCTATTTTTGTTGTTATTGTATTGAATCATTATTATTGATTATTGTGCACCAAGTGTTTACGTTGAAAATACTGTTCATAAGAATATTTATGTTACTAAACAAAATATTCTATTTTTAATAATTTTGCAAATGCTCGTTACAATTTGTAATACACATTAAAAAATCTATGTATCGACAATGATGATAGATTTGATTAATTATTGATACAAAAATTAAAATTAATTTGTAATTAATTTTAATTAGAGTCCTTAGAAGTGACTGTTCGTTGTTAGAGTTGGTGATATATCAATTCTTGAATCGTTATACGTAATTTGCAAAAGCCATTGATATCAAAATAGTATTCATTTTTGTAAATTTTTAGAATGTCTTTGCGAAAATCAAAGTTTCCTCACTGAAAAAATATGCAAATGCAATTCCATCCTTCATATTAATAGCAAATTTTCACCTAGAGTCACTCTCAATTTGCTGATACTATATCTGTATGAAAACAATTTAAATTTCGATACAGTAACATACGATTGTTTCTTGATTTGTACTTTGACACACGAAACAGATATAGTCATCAGTTAGTCGATAAAAGTTAATTGTATAAAAAGTTAGTGTTTTTGTATTCTCCAAAATTTATTCTTGTTCGATTTTTGCATAGAGTCGTATTGAATTTTAAATTCAGTCGTTCAACAACTTTTTTAGTAAATTCATTTTTTTATTTTTTGTATACTCGATAAAAATGTCTGACACTTCCTTGTCCTTTATGTGTACTAATTCCTTCTTTTTCAGCTTTTAATCCAAAGGATTAATTTTTGTTTCAGGTTATTTACAGAAACTTTTTACACTGAATCCCTGTTCGACAAAATGAAGAGTCAACAATCTCAAGAAATTTGATATTATGTTTCTAATTGTTTTAGTTTCTGTTTCAGAAATTCTCATGGGATCAAATTTTAAATTATTCAATTGAAATGTCGATAAAAATGTATTGTTATGTTCTTCTATTCTTATTGTTGTTATATATGTATGTTCTCTTAAATTTCTGTTCCAGAAATCATCCTAGGATTGAATTAATGCTCGCTATAAATTATTATAAATTATTAACTGTGCACTGATATGATATTGTCCAATGAGTTTCTTTTTCAAGGATCATCTTGGAATCAAGCTATATGTTTATCTGAATGAGTTGTTTATAATCTATAAAAATGTTTTGTTATAATCCTCCCAGTTTCTGCTTTAGAAATCATCATATCAAGATTTTTCTTCACCCGAAGATCACTATATGAAGGTCTCATCACCCGCAGATTGTCATGGAGCCGAATGGGTTTAAAACAATAACTGCGTTGTTCATGGGCGTAGCCAAGTTATCAGTCAAGGGGAGGCAATGATTATTAATTTTGACAAATAATTTGTTTCCTTCGGGCAGGGGGGGGGGGTTAAGTCCAATTTTTTTCTTCTAAAATAGTGCAAAACCGACTTTTTTTCGTTCAGGGGAGCACGTGTCCATCTTGTTGTTTGAACATTAGTTTCTGCGTTGCGTTTAGTTTAAGTTACTGACTGTGAATTGCATAAGTGTATTTATTATTAAAACGATTGTAAATTTTTTGTACAAGGAGAATAGATGTGCAACTTGTGATTCCATCTATCCTCCTTGGGTCTCCATTCGCAGCAACCTCCACGTGGTGAGACCTGGGCAATTATTATTATTTCCTATATAATTTGCTATATTATTTGCAATATATAAACCATAATCACCTATAAGTTGACGAATTATATAGCAAATAATATGAGCTAATTGGCTGCGAGGTGGCTTATTTTGATTAATTGATTCTTGTTGTTAGTTTCTTTACTGGCTAGCTGCAAGTGGCAAGGATCTCTTGTTTTGTGTATATTCTGTTCGCACCACCACAGACGAGGCATAATTGTTACAAAAAAATCATGCTCGAAGCTCCGTATTTCGTAGAGGAAATTTCAAGGAATGTGGCTATATTTCTGTTCAAATTTTCAAACGTCTGACCTCGATATTTAGTTCTGCAAATATAAATATCTCACTGTTTAGTTCCAGATCCTCAGGAACAATTGATTATAACCTTCGCATGCTAAGCATCATTATTATGCAGTTTATTACATGTTCCTAAATTCCATTAATACCATAGAATAAGAAAAATGATGAATTACCGGACTCCAATCACCCGCGCGCTTTTCCCACCGATCGTTCGCTCACTTGTGCGACGTAGCTACATAGGTATAGGGAGGGCTGGATTTATGCACTTTTTTCATCATTCGGGGGGCGTGTCTAGTGATCAATTAACGGACTCTTAATTATTGGGCTTCTACTGCAATTCGCGAATTCACTGTTCTCGTAACGTAGAGGGCAGCAAAAAATCTCCGACTGTTTGCACAATCGGTATTTCAGAACATGAGACACAAAGTCCCATAAGATGATAAGTCTCTATGTACATACATATGTACATATATGTAGCTAGAATCGTGTAGAATATTCTAGTATAATACTTCTCACACTTAATAGCTCTTCAAAGCGTATAATTATATACATATCGGTCTCGACGAAGGATAATCAATTACAGGGTAGTATTTGACCGTAACTTTTATTAGCTAATGTCGTTACACGTATACTGAATCAAATTTAGAGTGTAGTACCATCAACCCTTTTACATAGTGCAAAAATAGAACGGTTCTATTTTTGAATAAACATTATTGGTAGGAATGTATCGTTGAACTTGATTACAATTTCTTCGAAGAAAGGTGGAAAATTGATTAACGCGCGCGGAACGTCTTCGCTTCGTCGTTTACAAAACGAGGGGAAAAATCTGCAATAATCCTGTTTCCCCATCGCGTTCATTCGTCGCGTTTTCTTTCACGAATCTCATCGAAAACAAACGAAACTGATTGAACATAAGTACGAACTATAGAAAAATTTAAGCAAGGACGAAATATATGTATATATACATATATGTTTTTCACGGTGTCTGTGGTTTATTTACATACGTTGTATATAATAAAAATAAAATCGTCGATCGTCTCTAACTTATCTAAACGCAAACAGGAATCGAAGATGAGAAGCGAGGAATATACATATATATGTCTCGAGTGTCGAAGGATAAATGTCTGAATGCGACTAACGTTTACGTATGATACAGTCTTCCAGCCTGGTGTCGGTAACACGCAGTGTTTCTAGTTTCAAAGTACGGTTTTTCGATACGGGTTGAAGCGTGTTTGTTGCATGTAAAGAAAAAAGAAATAGGTTCGCCTCGATTCGTATCCGGCGTGTGAACCCTTTCTCCGTCTGATATGACGTTAAATGTTATTATGTACAATTCGCGACAGCCCCCAAGTCCTCCAAGAAAAAAACAATATGCAACGAAACTCATCCTTCGGCTAATCGTAATGGCTCTATCGCGTGTTTAAGGATGGAAACGTACATGTCTATACACATTCACACGTATGTGTACTCTTGATTCAAATCGAACAATCATCAACGGTCCTACCGTTAACAGTAGTTGTTTTTCGCGTACAGTAGAGCACATATATATGATATATATGTATATTTAATATATAATACACATCTCTCTCTCTCTCTCTCTCTCTCTCTCTCTCTCTCTCTCTCTCTCTCTCTCTTTCTCTCTCTCTGTGCGCGTGTGTGTGTGTGTGTGAGTGAGTGAGTGAGTGAGTGAGTGAATGCGCGCGCGTGTTTTTGTGTGCATCAGTTTCTCACGTATCTATATAGTAGCTATATACAAATTTCTCTTACCATCAGGCAACAGCAATAATAATTGTAAAACTCTCGTAATAAATTCTCCTTATAAATAGATAATTCTTAAATATCGTTCAATCGATAAAAACTCTTGGAAAAATTACCTAAAAAACGATCGATCCCTACGTATAAGACGCGAATCTCTGACTAACAGGCGACATATTACGCATTGCTAATATCGCTTTTCTTACGCGAGACAACAATAGAATAAGAGCACGATTAATGATTAGATGAACAAAAAGCACAGCTTCGAAGACTCAACGTGAACAAACCAGTAATGTTTTCCATAAAATTCTTCGAGAAACTGGTCGATTGCACTTGAAACGCTATCGTCGCAATTATAAAACTGCCGACCTAATCAGATACAGGAATAGAATCGAATTAAAACGAGGTAGCCGAGCAAGATATTCCGTGGCTCCTTTAAAATATTATTTAAAAAATATGCATCATCCACGAGTCTTCTTTGTCAGAACAGTGGTTTACTTTCATCAATATTAACAACCCTTTGCGACTTTTCGTCCATCGGAAATTCTAACGACCACATAACTATGTAGATCCCAAGATCGCCTAGTAGTGGTCCGTGGCACATTCTCTTCGTCAAAGAAAATCTCCTAGAAGACACCTAAAGACTATCGAATCATAGCCAATCGTCGCTCGCAAAGGGACGAGGAAAGAGACGTCGAGTAAAAGAAACCTATAATCGCGTCAGAGTCTCTATTGTTCCTGAGGAACTTTTAACAGGACAGTTCTGGTACCCTCGGAGTCGGAAATGTTGATCTTCAGCTCGTTCGTGAGCGCCTCGAGCTTGTCGACCACCTTCTTTTGCCCGCCTAGATTCGGCGGCGGCCATACGTCGTCCAAAGACGGTTCGATGTATTTCCGGCCCGATTTCAACATTTGTGCATCCTGCCTTCCGCAAAGCGTTCCGCCTACGTGATGGGAAGACGAGACGCATTTTAGGGCCGGTTCCATGTCCATGCGAGGACGTTTGTAGAGGGGCGGCTGGATCACCGGGCTGTAATCGTGATCTAACAGACCCTCGACCTCCTGCAGCAACTCCTCGCTGTATTGCTGCAGCTCCTCGTCCATCAGCTGTTTCGTGTACAGAAGTGTTCGGGAACGGCCTGAAATTAGAGATTCGTTTTAACCCTTTTCATATTGTTGGCGTCTACAGGCATTCAGTTCACATTGCTCATTACAAATAGTTGACGCATTATGAATGCAACAACTGTGATGTAGGATTATGTATTGTTCTATGCTCCGAATTCTATCATACTAGTGTGTACTGACAATTCAATACAGGACATGAATAAATAAATGATATAAGTTTAATGTAGTAAGATTCAGTGTTTTGAGAATTTCTATATAATTTCTGAAAAATGTACACTGACGGAAATTTTCGTAGTTCATAGCGTAGATCGCGGCAAAATAGTTTTGAAGTCTGCCGTAGCGAAAGGTTTCAGGGAGGGTTAAAATTTTCAAGTGTACCTAGTTGGGCGTGTGTAATCTTTCGACCTTAAAAAGTTACATTCAAACTAAAGAAGATAGAATAACTAGACCTCCCCCCCCCCCCATGACCATGTTGAGAACCTACGACGATTTATACGAAGTTATATTTTCCGTGATAGTCAATTGTTTAAGGTTTTTTTTTTATCGGTCTTTTATTACGAGGATCGTGCTGTCGAGTACTCTTGTTATCTAAACGACAGAGTATTCGGGGTGATACAGTTCGATTGATACGTCTATAAGTCAAGAATCCCAGGACCGTGATTTTCGTGTGTACGAAACCGTCTCGAGGATGCAAGTTATCATGTTTACACGTTCGCCGCTATCGTTGATATATAAAGTAATTATCTCAGATAGGAGCCACGGCGTCGTTAGTCGTTGCCAGTGCACCCCGTCTGTTTGGTTAAGCCGATGCGGCTAACCAGCCGGCCTGTTTCGTAATCGACGCCGGAGAAACTGGTTACCAGGCTTCCCACGTATACGGCACTGTGTGTGCCCCCGGATCCTAAAAGTTCTAGCGTTTGAATTTCAATCAAGTTCATTGACACCTGATAGGATCCCTTCGTGCCTTCTCGAATAGTGAGCCAGTCTATGCGGTATTGGAGCCGTTCACAGGCCACAGTGATCAACTCTATTTTTTGTATTTTTTCCACATTTTGGTGGCAAAATACTTGATTAGTGCTTAACTTTTTATATCGAAATAAACGAGAATATATATTTTGTGGACTTAATCCGCTCACTGCGTCTTCTTTGGTATCTCGTACGAAATTTTTTTTCATAAAATCAAGAAACAATAGTAATTTTAAGACTATTTAACACATTTTTTTATATTTTCATTTCTCTTTAACAATGTGTTTGCTCAACATAAATAACAGCACTAGTAGTCACAGTAACACCGTTTTTCTCATGTTTGGATGTCATTTAAACAAGGTTCATACTGCCGATTGTCAAGACATATTCCAAATATTGTGACTAAAGTGACAAAGTAGACGTCCACTGTAGTGGAAAAATTCAGTTAGCGGGTTAATCACTTTGCCAAATGCACGGCACATATAATATCATGTTCGAGCGGTTTACTTCGAAAAGAACCATTCTACTCCAAGTTTTACTGGATAATTAATTCAAAATTGTGAATACATATGTTAAGAAAATTCGATAAAAGTGCGTTCGAGTTAACATGATTGTGTTCTCTGAGAAAGTGGTTAAACACGAAAGATCGATGAGAAGGATCGTTCAGAAGTCGAGAAAGGACCGGGTGGGAGAGCTTTCTTGCCCTCGTTTAGAAAGTAGCTGAGCAACTTCTGGCTCGATCTCATTGCCTGCTCCGGTTTCACCACACCGGTGTTTCATATCAATCTCCCATACAGATATATTTGTTTCGAAATATCGTGCTTGTCCCCTTTATCAAGACATTCATTGAAAATCCCGATAAAATCTTTCGTGAACAAAATTTCTCAAATAATATCTCGTTTCAATTTCGGCGAACATGAAACTTTCGATTTAATCGACGTTAATACGACACCCGGGAACTTTGATACTTTGATTCGCTTGCGTCGTAGAATCGAGCAGGAAAAGGCAGAAATTCGTTTCGCAATCTGAAATACCGTCGATATTGTATCGCATCTTGCTATTTCTTTTATGCCGCAAAACCGAACGCACACGACGTCCCCGCGCAGAATTTGCTGTCCAAGCGAGTTCGACATTCTTTTTACACGAAAATATGACGCCAGAATTCTAAACGGCTGATGAATCATTTCCACGAACAACGAGAACCGCGGAAAGATCAAGTTCGAAGGGGTAGACGTATAATTGATGAAAAGACTCGATGCGATTCCATGTAACCATACGGCGTTTAAAAACCTTTGTAAATAGATTGTATGTGTCTGAAAAAGTTATCAGGATTGAGACCCGATGGGTTACGTAAATTATTCCCCCCAACGTCACTCGATAATCTGGGGTTACCTAATCGTGACTCAAGATAATGAATACATGTCAATGTCTATCGTCTATCGTCCTCCTTCGATGGTGCCTACGTATTGCACGCGTATTGTTAATAAACAGAGGTATCAACTGCACGTGCAGTTAACAACGTTATTCGCTATCGAATCGTGTACACTAGATAAACATCAATCCTTGTGCTCTACGTAATTAGAAAAACATTTTTACGAGTTAGAATAGGCGCTGATAGCGAGAAAACAGAATTATCGGTAACGAGTTTCAAGACGTCCAACAATTATTTGCAACCTTGTTTCCTCGTGTCGTTACTTCACCACAGCCGACTAACCGCGATAATTTTACTTTCAAATATTTTTCCAACGATCCACACACTCGAGCGCAAGAAGGATAAGAACGGGGGCGGGGCGCGCATCGTTTTATTTCTCATTCGGGTTGGAAACTCGCTCGACCATTGCGAGGCCAAGATGCAGCAACCACACAGACGTGAAAGCAACGCGGAAAAAAAGAATTATACATATACTCCATGCCAGGCCTCTGTGGTGTGCCTTTCATAATATCCTGAGGTGCAACGTTCCAGGCCGACCTGTGCACTGGGCAGCGCTATTGAACCCCATTCAGCTCGTATAAACCGCTAGTGTAACGGTTCGAAAAGATTCGGGCAGGCTTGTGTCAGTCACTGAGCAAAATTCATCCGACAGGTTTACCATTCTTTCGAACCTGGATCCTTTATTTCGTACGAAAATTATTCCTCAATTCATGAAACGTGAGATTATCAATTAATATGATACATCGAGTTCTTTAGAATGGTTTCCTCCAATTCTTTAATAGGGATAAAACCCTATTTAGAATGTTTTCCCCAATTTTTTGGATCGGGACAAAATCCCCCTTTTGGTTAAATGTTATATAATGGTACACTCACCCGCTAACGGTGGCATTTTTTCAGGTTGCTCCGGCTCTTGCGTGAGTTCGTTGCTGGCATTTGAGTGCGGTCGAAGATTCGGTACAGCGACCAGGGCCAATGAGAGCAACAAGACCATCAGGCAAGTGGCCGGCTGAGCGCTCTTGTTGCCCTTTTGCAACAAGGCCTGCAGCCTTTTCAGTTGCCCGGCCAGGCTCTGATTCTGTGACTGAAGCGCCTTGATCCGTTTCAGTAGCGTCATGTTCTCCTCGGTGCACTGTTTCACACGATCTTCCAACCCGTCCACGTACTCCTTTTTCCTTTTACGCGAGTCCTGGGCGGATATTTTGTTGCGAATCTTGCGTCTGATCCTCTTCAGCTCCCGTTCTTCGTGTTTCGTTAACGGATAATGCGTGGGCAACGTGATTCCCTCCTTTTGGAGCAGGCGTTTCTCCTCTGCATTCAATTTCAGCCTTGGGTACGGGGATTCGGATTCCGAGACCTCGTCGCTGGAATTACAACCCTTTTCGCTACTAGAGTCCTCCTGCTTGATGGTCATCTAGGCAAAATTACGATGGAAATGTTAGAATCATTTGATCGACAAGCTGAGTACCCTTTAACCTGATATCTTTTTGGATATCCACTTCAATTGCTTCGGTTAGAGGAGTCGATTGTAGAATGAAAAGTTTCACTTAAACGAAAGCTACACGATGTCCATTCAAGTTCCACTTTCACGATTTTCACGGAGAAAATTAATTGTTTCGCGTATATGTATACCTGGACTGGTTTGTTGATGATATTGGCTTGATTGATTTTGAACCCCTTCAGATGCCTCGCCTGCGACGCATTGATGATCTTTATGGTTCGCACCTCCTTCATGTCTTTCAGACTCACCGGCAGCAGAATTGACCTCGGATTGCCGGAACCCATTGGCGTAACGCGTATCAATTGTCTGATGTTGCGTTTCCCATTGCACGCGATGTTACGAACGTTTATTGTGTTCGTCTCTTGCGGTGCCACGTGTACCTGCTGCTTCGATATTTTATCTAAAATCAGAGTTTCATTCTTTTCATTCGTTGTTCTCGATCCTAGATGTTGACCGATTCCTTGAAAAGCTATTTATCTTGATAACCCTGACAGAATTTCATATATCTACTATCTACGCGGCGTTACATTCATTAGTTCTCGAAACATGAGGCAGCTGTTCAAACCGTATTCATCTGGCGAATTGTTAGGTATTATCTGCTCGCCTAAGAGACAAATAACAATCGCCCGTTTCGTCATACCAGACTGACGATACAGCCGCGACGCAACTTTACAGCGACACAAATTCCTTTAATAATGTCTCTACTATTCCTAAACCATCACGAAGATTCCTTGTCTTTTATTTAGGCGTGACTCGACTGACAATCAGCAAAGTCTTATAGAAAGACCCATTTAATTAAATTTGATTAACTGGTCAAGAAATAAATGGCTTCTTCAATTCTTCAAATTGGCCTAGGTGCCATTTCGTTGTGAAGTATACGAAGTAGAATAAAAGTTTACCGCTAAAAGGATACAAAATTTCTCCTGGTGATATCTTTCGAGCTGCAATTTATATACATGTATATATGTATCAAGACATGCTTTACCGAAATCGATGACCTGCGGTTCCGTCACGATAGTCGTGTTCGCGTCGGGCAATGTGTTGTTAGGGTTCACCACGGCCACCAATGTGTGCTCCACATCCATCTCCTCGGTAACGTCCGTCGCAGGTGAACCGATGTTCGAACTGACCACCGATCTGATCTGGCTGTCCTCGCTGCCTATCGATTGGTTCGGGCTGTCCAACGAGTCGAAGTCCATGAAGTTCTGAGGGCTGCTCATCTCCGAGTTGCTGATCTCCACCTGATCCTCCTCGATCGGTAACAATGGACTCAGTTGTTGCTCGCAAGACAAGCTTAGAGCGCTGGAGAGTCCACTGTCCGACGAGGAGGACGGTATCGCGTCCAAATCATTGTCGATCAGGCTGAATTGATTGTCCTCCAGCTTGAATATAGAGTCGAGAAAGTCGTCGGGGTTCGTTGGCCATTCCTCCGCCTTAAACATCAAACGCAGAGACCGCGTGGAATTATTTCCGGGTAGGTAAGTAGGTACTTATTGGCCCAGACTTTCTGGGATGGATATTTACATACACGGGAAAGAGATCAGAGAGATTATCTGGTGCAGAATTTTTCTCGATTATTATACAGGGTGAAATGAAAAAAGGGTTTATAATTTCTGGGGCAGATAATACTTGCCAAATGATGAAAAAAGGTCCTGATAAATGCACCTTGTAAAAAAACTAATACGAGTTGTATAAAACCTTCTGTAACCAAGAAAAAAAGAAATGATAAGGTAATCCATTGTTTAAATAAGGTAAGATAGCTTCAGATGCGAGAAAGTTACTCGTTTCGACCGAAATCGAAAACTATTTGTAATTTTGAGAATATAAATTTTTTGACTTATGTTTATTAGGAGTTTTTTTCATTGTTCGGCAACTACTTTTTACCTCAGAAGTTATGAACCCTTTTTTTGTTTCACCGTGTAGAAGTGAACGATTTCTTCGGGCTCCGTTTCGCGGCCGGTTTCTCATTTAGTTCAGATTATTGACCCCGTACACACCACGCGCAGGGCCTTTTCTGTGCTTTTGCACAGAACAACGGCTGAAACCGATTTTAATCTCGCGATTTGCAGGATACTAATCATTTCTGTTGATTATCGCGTGCTCTAGTTAGGTGTGTGGTTGAAAGTTGGGGGGTTAATCAACTTAAGACAAAGTTTGAGAAATGGCCGTTCGCATGGTGCCTTGTTGTCGGTACTTGCGTGAACGAACCATTCGGCCAATGTCAGTTAACCTAGTTTTCGAGGTATGGTAAATATAGTTAAGCGTGCGATATAGATTCGCGTGAAATCGAGAATTCTGCGTTTGTTCCCTGGGTCGTGGACAAAGGTACGAATATATACATCAGAACTTTACATGGGAATGGGTAATTAATCGTCGGAACTAAATCCTAAATTATACTTCGAAGAAAATGATCGTCGGCTCTAGAGGACCGTTCGAAAATTCAGATGCGATTCATGCTTGACGTAAACCACGTTTTCTCCATACAATTTAAAACGACTAAAAATAAATCTGAGCTAACGTAAGATGTTCCTGTATTTACTCGACCGAGCCGAGTCTCTGTGTTTTCTGTGTGTTTCAAATTCCAGTAAACCGTCTACGTATTTCTTTTTACGGCTTTATCAAAGAGAAAGAACAAGCATGTATGACTGAAATATTTATAGTTACAGACTGTACAGTTTTCGACTAGTGTGAAAGAAACATTCGAGTCTTCGAGTGATCAATGATCTGAATTTTTCGAAATTCTCAGCATTTTACTACAGGTGATGAAGAATATATGTATATGTATATTTTTAAAAATTCTTTATCGTTTTCCTCGATATAAAGAATAAAAAATGCAATGCAAAACCACGTGTTTTCGACGCAACCGGTTCGAGGTCGTTTGTCCCTCGTGAAAATGCGTCAGAATTTTTGAGTCTATTCACAGGGTGTCCCGTAAGGTAACGGTACACCACGCGTTCGAAGGTCACTCGCCATGATGAGTAACTTCGCATTCTCGGTCTGATTCCATACCCTCGAGAGCCATTTATATACCTTCGCCGCAGGTAACAAAACCTGTTGACCTGGAGAACAATATAAAACTATTTCCCCTATGTTCGTGAGATAAAGAATGACTCGACTGTTGGTTGAACAGATTTGACGAACACATCGTGGCGCACAAAGCACATTTTTAATGAGAACACTTTAAAACGGAGCACACTTGCCAGCGGAGAGGTAATTCCAATATGGCGGCGCTCGTCGCGCCGGCACGTGCATCGGATCATTCCATATGTTACAAAAACTCCGGCGTGATTATGTAATAATGGTATATTTACGAACTTGTGTATCATTCGGTAAAAAATAAGAATGTGTTATAAACAAAGATTGACTAGAGAAACATAAAAGTATTCGTACCTTTAAGTCAAAATTATGGTATGGATGCAATTACGGTACTTTACTCCAATCATACCAATACGAACATTAGTGCTATTCAACAGTAATATTTGTATTTCCTTGCAATAATATTACATTGAATCATGTAACATTGTATTGTCTACAGTCTACAGAAACCAAACATAAAACAAAACGATCAGATATCTGACGCCGTTACAGTACATGCGCAGCGCACGTGTGCTGCACACACACACACACACACACACACACCATATGTTAACGCAAATTAACGGCAAACGAGGGATTATTCTAACGGGAACTTTTGGTAGCATCGTGATTGATGTTTGCAACGGACGGTTTAAACATCCGTTTCGTAGACGCTCCATTCGGAAAACGGTTTTGTGTCTCGTCTAGCCGACGAATACGACTACATAATTGAGTGAACAATTAAATGTAATCGTTACCAATGAAAGGCACACAGATGCCCCGAGACTCGTTAATCGAGACGGGGTTCAAAAAATGGGATGAAAGTAGCACAGGCTACGGTGAAATGTACCATTACTTCTCTCTCGCGTGTACCAAACATTCTCCCGTCGCCGAACCGGAACCAGGGGCATTTTTGGGGGGTCTGAACTACTATCTCGAATACGTGAAATGTCCAATAAGAAACACCGTTGGTACATGTTTTATCTGCTCTGATTTGTAAGGCATCTTTCATTTGGACAAATGCATACTTGGTTTTCCATAATTCTAATATGTACACCGAAATGGTGCGTTGCGTAAAGCATGAGTCGGTGTTTAAAAAGGTTTCGCTAGCCTTGAGAATTATTCGTCGTGGAATTAGCATTCCAGATAACAAGGGCGATACACGCCAGTCCTCATAATAAGTTAACCAATGCTCCCGTAGATTCATATACTCCAAGAAGGAAACAAACAACGGTCCACTCCGAAATGATACCACAGTTCTATTCTCTCTGGGATTTCCATTACATAAAGGAAAATCTGTCTCGGTCCGAAGTTCTGGGAACTTCGAAAGACGGTATTAATAAGCTGGTTACTCAACGCGATCCCGCGATTCCCCATCGATAAGCCATTATAACCCGGCGGATCGTCGAGCATGGGAAAGGAAAAATGGGTCCATGGTTCACCAGGAATCCTGGAATGCGTCGAATCCACAAAGGAATATGTTTCTATCCAGGGGTGTGAGTTTGTATGTTGAAACAACAGTGGACTAAAAGAAAGGAAAATCCCGTCTGACGTGTGTGTGTGTGTGTGTGTGCGCGCGTGTGTGTCAGAGACTCACCGCGATGGCGTCGTCGCCGTAGCTCTGGTCTATGAAAGGCTCGTCCTTAACATCCCCTTTCAGGAACGAGTCGTCCCGCGGGAATAGTAAGTCCATCAGGTTCATATCCGTCGACGACATCCTGGCCGATCAGGCAGAGGCCAATCAACCGTATTCACTGTCCACACACGCGACACGAAATCCAACCAACAACTAGGCTTCCATCAAAAACACACCGTGGCACTGCACCAACGAAACGACGATGCACCTCTCGACTCAACACGATACAGCACGCCAGTCGACTAACGGATAGGAAAAGGAGCCCGTCGTCGCGGCGAGTGGACGGACAAACAGACGTGATCCTCCTCGCCCCACCCTGCAGCAGACACAAGAACTTCTCTTGCGCCAAAGAGACGAAGAAGGAGAGTGGGACCGGTTTTTGGGTTCGTCGCGGCTTGACTGACTCTCACATGGGCATTTTTTGGGCGTCCACTCGGCACCGCATCGCCAAAGGATGATGCCTCCGTCGTTTGGAATTTCAATACGCGTGATTACACACGCTCCTCGATGCCGTTTCGAGAACTACTACACACCGTACGACGAGATACAATCGAGACACTGTGTTTGTTTTCAACACAGACGAGCAGAAACACCGAACCGTGCGTCGTCGTCGCTCCTATCCCCATTGTCAATTGAACTGCCAGCGTGGCAGTAAGTGCGTCACACAGGCGCATGAGCTCGCGGCGAAACGATTGGACGTGAACGGACTGAGCTCTTTCTGCTGCAGCGATACCTCGATTAATCGAGATACATATATATGCCGCGGCAGCGTCAGGCTTTTCGAATCTGACGAAATAATGCCGGATTGTTGAGCGAAATTTTCCCATACGACGTTAAGATGTATGATAAAAAGAATCGAATTGTCCTTCTTTGATATAGAATTTATCAATCGTTGACAGAAATCCATTATTTCGGTGCCTCGTAACTGGCATCCTTGGGACATAGAGATGTTATTTTAGGTTTCAAAAATAAAAAAAAAATAGAATAAATTTTCCCTGGATAAAATTTAATGCCTGTAGCTTCATTTTTGTTAAACGAAGATTTTAGTTCTGTAGGAAGTTTTTCGGAGTGAGGCATTCAACGTGCTAAAAACAAAGTTATATTTGCCGTGTCCCGTTGTTGCATCAGATTAATCAATTTCGGTTAGCCGAATCTGCACAACGCATTCGGTACACATCGATGATTCAGAGATTTCGAGCTCCAAAAATGTATCCGATTGTCGGTTACACTTAGGAGCTGACGCAGACTTCCTCCGTTTATCTCTCGCCTAAATATTGAATAACTCTTGGGTACTATTTTCTAAAGCTTTGTGTTCGTTTACTCAAGAAATCTTGACTAATTGATAATTTCTCTGGGTGTATTACATAGAAAATCATTTGTTAACCGGGACTTCTTACTGATCCGAGGGAACAATGCTTTCACATTGTACATATTCGTCATCACTGGGAAGTATCGAGTGACGGCTTTATAGAAGGAATTCAAGGTGGAATTATTCCCCCTCCCGCCCCTCCAATGGGCCTCATCCTGAAATGAATCAGGTTGTAGCCCTTTCTTTCCCTTTCTCGTGGCGTCAGGCAGGGTCAGCAGGTATACCTGGACTGAGGTCATAATTGAGTTCAGGATTTCTGTAACAAATTGATTAAACTCAGTAACTCGAATATCCAGAAGCAATAGTTGCATAGAGGTTGAAAGTATAACTTGCTATTCCTCTAGTAATAATTGTAACACATACTTGTATATATTCATGGTAGAATAGTCCGATTGCTATGAGTAGTCCAATGAACACTAAGAAACTCCATCCTCGCCATGCGAGTAAGCTAATTCCTCCGAATCCTGGCACTCCTCTTCTTGTACATACACCCATTTCTTGTACCGATAATTCACTGTTCTTTGGAAGCAATTGAATCTTAAATTTGAAGTAAATAACTTTCATTTCGATTGGAAATATTCAAGCATAAAAGATTGAAAGTAAGAAAATTTCAAGTTAACCTTCCAGTAATTAAGATTTTTATACAATGTGGCAACTCATGATAATTTGTAGCTATTAGAACGTTATTGAATTCTGAGTGGATTTAGAGGGAAAACGTTCGCGTTAGGGGATGCACTTCGGAACTCTCATTATGGACGTTTGCTTTTTCGTTAAATGAAACGATTAATTTGGATGGAATAGACGTGATTGATTTTAGAGAAACATTTGACAAAATGACGTTCATAAAATCCGAGGTTGTGTTGATATTACTGTTCGATCGTTCGTTTGATGTCTGCCGAATCGTGTTGCAGCTTGATATGGTCCTAACAGTTGCACCATGGCGCTGATCATGGCGGCTGTGAAAAGGTTACGGTCCGAAAATCGAAGTAAATTATGCCAGTTATAGTAATTTATTAAGTAAATCAATTTTATGAAATGAGGTAAGCAAATCATTTGCACAGATAGTTATGAGATCATCTTGAAGTTTCATTTGCAAATAAATTACTGACTATTCAGTATTTCATATTTCTATGAGGTTATATATTGCTATATTAAATATTCTTTTATGTATAAATAATTTAAACAATGAGATATAATTTTGGTAATTTATACGTTTTGTTTAATCAAGAAGTGATGAGCAATCAGTCTAAGTTAGTAATTGTAGAATATATATATATATATATATATATATATACCATTATATATCAATCTAATAAGACAATACATACCATTCACAATTATTTATTATAGACGTTACTCGCGTAGGAGAAATTATGTGTAACCTTTTAACATCAGCAATGGAAACTAAAGTAACTAGTAAAACCAGTAGTTTGAAAGCTCTTTTATTACGCGCATGGAGAGAACGTTGGAGTGATTTACAATGGGGTATTAATATTAAAACAGTAAGTTAACAATTGACGAATTCACAACATTTCTGACATAATCTATTTTATAGAAGGTATGCTTCAAAATAATTATATTGTTTTCTCTATCAGATATTACCAAGAGGTGTTAGTGGAGATGTATATAATTTAGCAGACTGTATATTGCAACAGGCATTAGTAGGACTTGGTCCAAATCAGTTAGTACTGTCTTACTTGAAACATTCATTAAGCTCTCAGGTATGTGCTAACTTGAAATCACTAATATACATTAATGCCTTGGTCTGCAAATATAAATATATTTTCAGTTGGTCTCCTATGCCGCTGTACTGCAACGAATAAGTAAATACGACGCCTTTCACAAGCCCCATTGTATCCTAAGTCTACTAGAATTCCTAGAATCTATCCAAATAGGTATAACCTGTCGTGGTAAACCGGAGGAAGATCTTTTGGCAGCTGCAGTTCTGTCAATTGTTAATTGGCTATTGCAATGTTACTTGCATACCGTAACAAAGATGCCTCAGAGCAGTCCCTTGACTCCGCAACCAACCGAACTAATGGACAAGCCTGCCAGTATATTAAAACAGATGCTTAATTCTGATTTCCTTTGCGCGATGATGTACTTAGCCAAATACGATGACAAAGGTGATTATATACATGAATGAACAACATAATATAAAATCCTGTAGAAACGTTCAATTTTGAAGTCGAATTTTCAGATTTGTACATAGAGGTTGTGAAAAAATGTCAAGAGATCGAGGCTCTGTTGAAAACCAGTAGCCTAAAGTCTTCTGTGCCGATCGAGGATTCACTGAAAAAATTGTGCAATTTGGAGGTCGAATGTCTGGCCCTGTCCTCGGAAATGACCCAAATGGAATCCATAACGCACTGCCTGCAGCCGTTGTTCGCGGTTCAAGTGTTACTGAATCCCAGCACGGAGACGGCTGTGTTTGTTAATCAATTGTTGATGGTCCAAAGACTCAAGAATTATACGAATTCGCGATTGTACTGCGAGATAATACGCGCCTGTTTGATGTGCCTGCACAATGTTACCGGCACATTCAAGGAGTCGCAGTGGGGCGCTTTCACGTTTTTAAAAGTGCCCCTTATTTTAAAGGAGCTGCATGTTGCGCATTCGAACGGCGATGAGAAATCGGAGTATTCGCAAGACATCCTGGACGCGTTCGAGCTTCTGCTCCAATTCACACCTCTTCTGGATATAATGGACACCGCGTGTTCGTGCAACAGCGTCGAGTGCCTCCTGAACGCACTGCAGAAGGTGAATTTAGTCACGGAGAAGCAAGCGAAACAATTGAGCGGTAGAAGGGAGGGTGTCACGGCCACTTTACAAAAGTTAGAGTCTTCTACATCGACACCTTCGATTCCAAAGGTAATCGTCAGAGCCGAGCCAACGTTGTCCGGGATCCTGAAGACGCTGAACGCCGATTACACGAAGATTCACGAGGCTTTGTTGAGCATGCTGTATCAAGTCTTGACCGGAAAGAGTTTCGAGCTGATGTTGGCTGTGGCGACTGTGGAAGGCAAGCTAAAAACTTTCGTCACCAAGCTGATCAAGTTCAACGAGTGCAGCAAGCAGATCAACGAACCTGTCCCACCAAAGACCGCGGCAACCAGAGCGATGCTGTTCGACGTATCGTTTCTGATGCTCTGCTCCATAGTGCAAACGTATGGATCTGATGCCGTGCTAGAGGAGGGAGGCGGAGACTCCTTCTTCGAGCAATGGGTACGCGAGTGTATGCCCGAACGGAACCAACCAAAGTCGCCCCAGAAAATGTTGCAGAACATCGACCCCGCCAGAGTGGATGCTTTACTGGCGCAAATCAATTCGCCGGATCCCGATTTCAAATCCAGTAATATAAAGTGGCACATTGCGTGTCAGTCGGCCATGGGTGCTGTCAAAGAGCTTCTCTGCGCTTGGGAAAGTGACGTATTGGGCGCTGGCGATGTCAAAAGGGCTCTAGATGGCTTGCGAGCTACTGCCTGCTGTTTGCCAGTTTGCGCAGCGGCTTGGCTTTGCGCGTATATGAGTATCACTCATCAGGATGCCCTCTTGAAGCCCATGAATATGGTGCAGCACTTTTTAACGCCGCTACCAGGTGACGAAATGCAGGATAATCTCAAGGAAAGGTCGAGCCTGATGTCTCAGATCATTCGAAAAATGCAGTACGATGTCCATCCTCCCACACAGTCGAAGACGAAGGTGCTGTCGATGTCTCATAGTATTATATCGAGGCAACCGATATTGGAGCAATTGGAAACCGTTTGGACGACCGTCAATCAACGAGGATGGATAAATATACAAGCGACACAGTCCCTAGAATCATTATTAAACACTGGGGGGTCGCTGTGGTTCGTCTCGAATATAGTGAAGGAGGTGTTGAAGTATCGTTACCAGGAGGAGTTGGATCAGGCCGTAGATTTAGCGTTCGCCATTTTTCACCTTGACATCGAGAACTGTACATTAGACCTCATAAACCATATCATTCCACAATATTTATATAATTCATTACAGTGAGTCGATCAATAATTACATACGATTATAATTTGGCACTCTGAAACGTGGAATGCTCACATGTCTGATCGCTGTTTCTTCTAGGAGCGAGGAACTCGTAGAGCCGCAGTCCTCGGTGTTAGCGAAACTGTGCGTCTACTGTATATTTTCTACATTAGAGTATAACAATTCGAATCCTTATCGGGGGAACAGTAGAAAACGGGTGAGACGTGATTTAGACGCCGAGGAACTCGACGCTCTCAGTGTGCCAGCGAACAAGATTCTCAGATTGAACGAGTCGGGTGATTCCAATCCAATTTTCGGTTCCCAAAGCCCGCAGGCTCAAGGACCAACCAATGGACAGAAGTCGGTGGTGCTGAGAGATCCACTTCTGTCGTCGTTGAACGGACTGTTTACGATATTCACGTTCCTGGCTGGAAGAGACGGTGAAGTGTCCCAACAGACTCATTTTATTCTTCAGTTCTTGCGTCTAATGGTACAATGCGTGGAATGCCGCAAACATTGGTGAGATGCAATATTCAATAACCGCCATCGATTAATTCCAGGGATCGTAGTCTAATCTTTCTAATCACGTTTTAGGTCCCTTGCCTTCTAAAAGCACTGCCCGAATTGTTCACGACTGATATATTATTAAGATTTTACGATATTCAGACTGCAGCCGGACGTAAAGCAACCGCACGGGATCTATGCATGCTCAGAAATATCACTCTGAAACCCACGAAATAGTACTGATCGCGTGTTAACAAAGCAAGAGAACCACTCTCGGACGAGCACACTGATTTATAGAAGCGAACGATAAGTATGGAATAATAGTGAGACATCGATTATATTATTATTTTAAAATATACGAATTTAATACGACTTTGCCCGACTGTCCTTGGAACACCTCTCCCGTCTCCGCAAGGATATTAAAACAACGGGTTTAGAAAAAGGATAATCGTTTCAGACACTTTATTCTTTCCACGTTTTTTAGATTTATAAACAGATCTATAAATAACTCTTATATTTAAAATTATGTACAGTAAATGATACACGGTAGCGTTCCCGAGACGGGAACTTTTACACGATATAAACACGTGGCACGGCACAGGTAAATGAAATTAATCGACGCAAGTGAAACGTACAGTCAAAAAACCATATTCCGTTCGCCAAGTTACGAAAAACCGGTCCTTGTTGTAAGTAACTCCTTACATTACTAAGGTAATATATTTACATGAAAGGTAGTGATTTCGTCGTTTGAAATTACTAAGAAAGAAGAAGGTAACGAATTGAATCGAGAGATCCAGAGAGCAAAAAATATCGATGATCGTAGACGGTTTCTCGCGTGTGAAATCTAAATCAATACGAATAATACAGAAGAGACTGCACAGAATTAGGGGACGAGGACCCATCTACGGTCATCGACGTTCTTTACGTGTGTGTTTCTAATGGAAGCACGTATAGGCTTATCGAAGGACAAATTTACAGCCATGGGTGCCAAGACGGATCCATTCTGCACAGATTGTCGTGGCTATTGGCTGCGGCCACCAGTGTGCTAACCTTGCTGTCGGTTCCGTCGAAATTGGCCAATGAGTTTAATCTGGTGATGATGGCCGTGACCGCACGGGTGACCATTGTTATCAGAAGCTCGCCTTTCATGTCGGTCGGTGTTTGGGACGCGTTCTCCGCGTCTTCCTGTTTTTTGTTATGATCCGCAATCACCTCGTCGCGTAAGATTGCCCGCAGAATCGTGTGCACTTTGAAGGATGGTTGCACCAGACAACGCGCTGTGGCAATGGCGCTGGCAGTCAGCGGCCCAGAGACACCTAGATAAAAGTAATTTTTTTTTTTTTAATATACAATATACAAGACCATTGTTTTATATATAATGTACAAAACTATCGTGAACGATTTTAATAACCATATGTGTTCTGTACGAACCTGTACTCGTAAGGAATTCAAGAATATTCGGTGTCAGTCGGAATGGAACTGGCCTGTTTGCGTCCAGCTCGCCGGATGTGTCGTCGACATCGAACTTGAAGTAGGCGATGTTGATCAGACCGGAATCTTGATGCACGTACATCATGTCTGGGTTTAGCCTCGTCAGGTGGAGCACGTACTCCGCGAAGCAGGCCAAAGATAATTGTAATGTGAACTGCAATGTAGAAACATTTTGCAATGTTACTACTCGTACTACATACAACACGAATGATAGGGAAATCAACGTATTTATCTATACGCATAATAGTACCATTTTTCTAAAGGTCCAATAATCGGTGGCACCGGGAAATGTCTTCACTGCCCAGTCTTTCAGCATAGTCCTGGCAACCATGGTCGTCTGTACCTCTTTCAATATATCCCTTAAAACCTGATGACTCGCTTGCGCCCCTCTGGCTTGTACCGTTGCCAATCTCTCGTAATACCTAGCAATAGGTGCATCGTGTTCTATTCCTAGTTTTGCACAGCCTTGTTTGTAAATGTCCAATAACGAAACCGAGGCAGGATTGTCTTCCACTAGTCGCATCTGCGGCGAAACAGCGACGACACGCGGTACGGTAAAGTGTAAGAATCGCCTGGAGGTCTCTTTCTGCTTGGCCAAGTAGTGATTCAACATTCTTAGCAACTGCAGTACACGTTCTTCGCGTCTTGCATCCCCTAGCCCAGCGTCGTTGACCACCAGATAAGGATACAGACGACCGTTATGGCCGCGAATCCGTAATCTCCTGGCTGCGGTGTTGTGTCGTTGAACAACTTCAACTCTTGGCATGAACCTTGCTATCCTCACGTAGTAATGTGAATGTTTGGGTAATAGGAATTCACCGGGCAGCTCTACCTCCGCGGTCTTTAGGCTGAAGTTGCTGAGAAACCGGCATTTTTCTTCAATCAGGAAGGACCTGTGACGAATATTTCGATTAGACGATGTTTTTTTAACGATTGACACCCGAGTTATAGGTATAGACACTTACTTTGGCAACTGCTTCGTCTTCCCTTCGAGAATCTTGATCCACTTCTTCAGCTTGCTAATCAAATTGTGCAGCAACCTCGCCTCTGGCACGGTGAAGTCGAAGTCGCTAGTGAATTGACCTTTCATTTTCTGGAAAACGGGATCCTGGACGGTTGCCTGTGCCCTGCGCGCCAAGGATTCTGAAGCCGCTGAGCCAAATGTGTTGTTCACGTTTTGAGATGAGGATATGTTTTCTACGATTTTACAGGGAATCGCCTTTAAGAACTCGTTTCTCTCAGAGCAGAAAGAGATCCGTAGGGAGGGTAGGACTTACCTATTCCTATGCCGAACGTCGAGACTAGTTTCTTCACGAAGTTCAATGTGTGTGGTGTTATGGTGGCCTCGCTGACAGCTCCACGGTTCTCGAACGCTATCGCGTAACACTTTGCCAAGCCTTGTCTCAGCTGCCTTAGAACTTCCTCGTACCACGTTTCCCGGAACCATACCATCTGGAGAACACAAGTTATTCCGATTTATTTACATGTGCAATTAGGATCTTAATAATCGAGAACAGTAAAAATCGAACCGAAAACCAACCTGGTCCACAATTCCTTCCAAGCTGGACAGAATAGTAGGATGAATGTCCCTTTGCATGTGCATAATCTTCGAGCACCTCCACATCGGCGGCGTGGCTCGTATTGGTCCCGTTTCCGGTACACCCTGTTGTTGAACATTCCCCGCTGTCCCACGACCCTCCACTCCCTCCTGATTCTTTCCAGCGGCCAATTCCGCGCTTTTGTACCTCTCCCGCTGCTCGATCTTCAGTGTCAGATAGAGAGTTCTGATCGAGAAGTACACCGCCTGCGGGAAGACCCGTCCAACTTGACTGAGTAGATTCAGGATAACGTTGCCCTCGTGTCGGACCAGGCACATCAACAGTTGAGGTATCCAAGGTAGCCATTGAATCGGAGGAACTCCTACCGCGTATTTATCCACAGCCTCCATCAGAGAGAATTTATCATCGTCGTAGGTGAGAAGCCACAAGACTTTGGCCAGATACTTTCTCGACTTGGACTCATTTTGATGTCTACAGGCGTGCAGGAAACAAGTGATCGCTGAGATTCCAATGGATATCTGACGAGCATCTCTCGTGAATATGTGTTCCAAGTAGTCGCCCCAAAGAGCCCAGGCTTTCACTAAAGTATCGTGCAACTGAACAGCAGCTGAGAACGCTTTATTCGCATCGTCTGATCGACCGATTTGCGATAGTAGCATCCCTTTCAGCGCATAGAATTCTGCAGTCATTTCCTTTGTGAAGTACCGAAGGTTCGTCGACTCGATTACCTCCAGACCCTCCTGTAATTCGTTCTTTCCGCTGACCGAAGCCATTTGCAGGTAACACTTCACCTGCTGTCTGATTTTTTGGAAGCAGTCGACAATAGGAACGCTGGGTATCGTGTAGATCCTCGACAACGAATCCAAGCACACACCGCAGAGATTGTGCTTCCTGGCTATCTTGCCGAAGTGAATGATCGCCTGAACCGATGCGTGCACGCCGAGCATCGAGTGATTGGTCGTTTGGTCTTGCTGAGAATCGTAATGACTCGAAATGAACGTGTAATGATGCTGACGCCACGTGAAGATGTCCGACCAGTGGCTTAGATCGTCGGCTATCACCGGCAAACGATTCCTCCAGGTTTTCACGATCGCCTTCATGTCGTGCAACGACGTGCTTCGTCCGTGCAACAGTCCCTGATGGATCTGCATAGCTTCTTGCAACTCCATTATCTGCTGGGCGGCTTGAAGCAACGGCAGATGCACGTGGCTGACGATATGAGGCAGCCGGCGCCATTCACGCATGCACAGACCGGATGCAAGCTCCACGTATCGTTCCACCGCGTTCAGGTGTTGATCCTCGCTGTTGCATATCGCCAGGAAACCACGGTATAAATTCACCTGGAAAGGAAAAATACGAAAAATACGAAATATATAACGATTCCAACTTGCAACCTTACTGTTTTTTATTCTAATAAGTAGACTGCGGAAGTTTATGGAATTAAGATATGCAGCGAATATGCAGAGTATGTGCAAGATATACGTACAAAAGTATATTTTATATAAGAAGACGTAAAAAAATATACTTTCATAATGCCCCGTTAATAATGACACATACCTCTGTGGAAATCCCATTTTTAAAATCCATTCCTCTAAAACATGCATTTGCATAAACATCTGCAGTCTAGTAACAAGAATGAATAATCGTTGTTCTTTACCTTCCAAGCCATCTCCTTCGGACAATTGTGTTCGACCTGAGCAAGAGCCTCCTTCATCATCGTCCAATTGGGAATTCTCCAAGAGCTCTCCAGTATCAGAAACGGATTCTTCTCCGCCTTCTTGCTACCGTAATCCAACAACAAATCCCACTGATTCAATTCTTTCGCGCACCTGATCCAATGCTGTTCCCAGAGCATAGCCTCCCGTTGAATTTTGAACGGAGCCGGTGTCGACACATAATCCTGTTTGAACTTCGTCATCGCGACATCATACGCTCCTTGAGCTTGCTCGAAGAAACCCTGTTGCTCGAGCGCTGTCGCCTGTAGAGTCTCCTTATAATGCGCGTGTTTCTGCCACAGGCCAGACCACATGTCCTCCTCGCACAATAACGAGTACATGTCCGACAAAGAGTCCAGAATCTCAGCATGAGGACTATTATCGGGTTCGAAGTCATAACAGTCTGACTCCCGTTTGATCTTGAACTGATTGTTCCCGTTGTCGAAAGCCATCTGTTCCAAACTAAGCGTCATCCTGTGCCAGAGATTGTGAGATCTGCCCAGGTACTTCATCAAAGCTGGCCTCATGGGCACCGAGGGATTGCAGTGCGATAATGCCTCGACGAACGTGGCGATTGCACTTGGATGACAGTCCTTCTGAATAACGTGGGTCCCACTGCAAATGAAAGGTACCACTTCCGCTATCAGAGTATTATGCTGATGTTCGTCCAAGATACTCCAGATCCTTGGGAAAGTGTCCAGCCAGACACGTTCCGCCAGGTTCGTGTCCATGTGACAAAGTTGCGCCGCAGCCAGTAACAATTGCTCCGTTCGTATCTTCTTCGCGTGCTCGATGAATTCACCCTGCTTCGCGATGAACTGCGTCAAGGTTGCTTTGCCAGTGGTAGCCATCTCTTCAGGAACGGTCGACGAGTCAACAGTGGACAGGTCCATGTCCAGTATTTCTTCCTTCACCTCCACCACGTCCGAAATGTCCTGTGGCTCTTCGTTCACAGAACTGTATATTATGTAATTCTTGTGCTCCTCGTTGTCTGTCATGTTGATCACAGAGGTTACGCTCGGTAGCAACGTGTCCTGATTGGACAACTGAATCTGGGTGCTTGAATTCGCTGTGACGAGTAGCAACTCGATGCACTGTTTGATCCAGTAATGGGGACCGATCGCGTCCCAGCTTTGACTGCAAATTATGTATAATAGTCTATCGTGAAGGCGTCTTCTCATCGATCCGTCGAACACCTCGAAGAACTTTCCTCGTATTTGGGGTTGAACGCAACGTAAACCTGACAAGAATGCTGGCTCCAATTTAGAGGTGAGCTCAGAGGATTTCAGTGTTTCGTCCCTGTATATGTAGTTGACCAGTTCCAAGAATTGTCTGTTGAGTTCCAAATCATCGGGGAATCGTTTCTCCACGTACTGCATCATTTTCACCAATAAAATCGACTTCTCCCGGAGACTAGGTGCTTGATTCATCGCGATGGGATTCTTGTTCTTCATCCATTCCTCCAGCATTTTCGTGATGGCCTTCATCACCTTAATGTCCTGCGTTTTCTCGATCAATCCGACCAGAATCGACCCTATGAACGATTTTCTCATCTCCACGCCCATCACCACCACTCGATTTTTCACGAGGTCCAAACTCAATATCAGCAACTCGCTACCAACTGGATTGGCCTCTGCTTGAGTCGAGTGTAGGTGGTCTTTGGCCATTCTATGGAGAACTCTCATGAACGGAGTTATCAATCGATCGATGTAGCTCTGATTATTTGTACAAGCTGCCTTCAGCATCATCAAGGTACCGAATAATGTACTAGGAGTAGCTGCTGTGTTCTTCTCGTAAGTCGCCAAACCATCCACCACAAATTTACCAACGGTAGTGTACAAGGTGTCCAATTCTTCGTACTTTGAAGCAACAGTGGAAGAAGTCGGTTCTGCAGGGAAAATGGTCATCAACCTGGACAGCAACCCGTGAACCAGCCGAATGACTTTCGTGTTACTGCTAGCGATACAGGCACCGATCCCGCGTTGCAAAGATTTGAAACTCGCGAGTATCTGTTCCCTCTTCATCACTCCCAGCAAGAACGTGAGGACTTCCAAAGCAGTGCAGATGTTTCCATAGATTGGCTGAGCACTATCGACGCTGGCCAACACTTTATCCAGCCAGGCCAGTTTCAGATCACAGGACTGGGGCCAGACGTCAGGTTTTAAAGCCATTTTCAACAAGGCTACGCAACGTCGAGAGAGTTGTTCGCCTGGATTACCGTGAATAGTTGTAACATCGTTCACCTGACAAGCCAAACGCAGCAGAAAGTTGAGGATCGCATCAGCATGGGCTCTCTCGATGGGTTTCGTGGATCCTGGTTCTATTCTAGGCAGAATCACCGGAATTGGTGTATTCCCAGTGGGTGCCTGAGTAGTCAGTCGTTTGGTCCCTGTAGGATCGTCGTTCATCGGCCGCTTCAGTGATCCTTGACCACCTCTATTTCCCCCAGAATCAGCACTTTCCGCCTCGTCTTTGATCCTATGAAGCTCCCACTTTATTATCACTTCCGCCAACTCGACAGCGAGCCTTCTATGCTCTATCGTTGCTGTCGGACTGAATCCGAGCCTCTGAATAGAATTCACTATATGCTGGACTAAATGATGTCTGACTGGATAATACACTTTATAGTGTCTGACCACCAACTGAAGAATATGGAACAGCTGCTGCATCGAGTGTCCCTCCTCCACGATGATTTTCTTGGTCCAGTGTGTTAGCATCGTGTTGCCATCCTCCATTCTGACTGGCATCGCGGGAGTCAGGATTTCTAAAGCCTGTCTCACAACGTTCCTTGCGTCCAAAGCGTGTGCTTTCAATAGACTATGGAAAACCTGAAGAACAATTCTTTTGTGAATGGCGAACTTTGCGATTATGTGACTCAGAAGCAAGTGACCGTGGTATCTAGTCGTGGGATCAACGCAGTTCTTTCCAAGCAAGCAGGGCCACGCGAACGTCATCAATCTTCGTAGCTTGTTGCCCTGCCTTTTGTTCGTGACATCGTGGATATGCTGCGAGGCCTGTTCGACCAGCAGACATGAGAACTGGAGCAATGATATACGAACACAGTCAGCGGACCCGAATGGATTATCTGGATCGATGATCTTGCTGATGAAGACGGACACAACGTTCTCTGGATTATCTTGATAGGGCATTGGTGCGCCTCCGACCAATTTGATACCCTCCCCTCTTTCGAAACTGACAGCGAAGCAGGGAATGACGATCAATTGGAGAACATTGGCCTTCAGTTCTTGGGACAGGTTGTTCGTGGGAAAGTGATCGACGAACCTGAAGAAAGCACTACGTTTCCATTCGACCGTGAATTCCTGAGCCACGGTGTGCTCCAGGAAGTCCCTCAAGAATTGAAAATCAGGGATAAATCTGTCACAAGTCGCTCTTAATAATTGGAATAGTAAATCGATATCGTTCGAATGGTGACGAAAATAATGCAACAGGATCTTGACTATGAGTTTCGGTTCCTTCCAATGGCAATAGTCCACGCTTTCAACCTTTTTATGCAACGCCTGGTATTCGTCGTTGCACCAAATTTGCTTCAGAGCCCCTACTAATTGAGTCTGCGTGGACAACCACTGTTCGTCGAACTTAATCAGAATAGCTATGATTTTAATAGCTTGATGTTGAAGCTCGCTTTTTTCGGTGTGGGTCAGGTTCGAGTTCGTTTGAGAGTGAGCTAACAACGTCGTTATCAGTCTTGCCGTGCTGTTGTGCAACACATCACGGAATATAGATTCATGGTTTCTGTCGGGTATCGCAGTAAAAACTTCATTAAAGGTATGCGAAACGGGCTGGATACTTCAACCATCAGCGACTTCTCTGTCTGTAGAACCAATCTGCACAGAACATCGATGAACTTCGGCGTAGCTGCAGGGATCTCGTGGAAAATTCCTATGATGGTTGCTATCTTCTGTTCGTTCTCACCTGACTTGGATATACCTTTATGAGCCTGTATCAGATTCTCCAAAAGCTTCTTCAAGTGCTGCAACAATTGCTCGCAAAGGGTAATACTGAAGGTACTAGGGAACAGTTGAGTCAAATACGAAAGTCTTTTTACACAATTGAGACTCAGGTTACGATGATCGCCTAAAGTCAACAGCATCGGTCGCATGATAACGTGAACGGACTCCATGTCGATCTGGAAACCGGCGATGAATTTCTGCATGCACTCGAACGCTGCTTCTTGCAACTCGGCGTTCGGTTTCTCCAGAGCTTTGTAAAGTACACCGAAAATCTTTTCTCTGCAGGCTACTATATAATGACAAGCTGCTAGGGCTTTTAACGCTGACTTTCGGAGAGGAATGAGGTTCGAGACGGATTTGTAACAGGGTAGTTTATTCAAGTTAGCATCCTCCGCCTCGCTGAGCGCCAACAGCTCCTGGAAGAACACTTTGTGTTCCATCACTGTCAGATCGATGGTGAAAAGTCGAGGATTCAGCGTGGTACAGAATGTGTTCCCATCCATAAGACCGATTTGAGCGTTGGCGGGTTGATGTCTGAGCAAATGCTTCTTGGGCGGTATCATATCGGCCAGAACCTCTTTATGAGGTTCCATCACTTCGGTGACAGTTTTATTCTGAATTTCAGCAAGCAATCGCAAGGAGGACATTGCTTGCTTTCGCACCAAAGTATGAGGCGACGTAACCTGTCTGACCAACTCGTGAGTTACTTCATACAAGCTTTTGTTCTGCGCCTCTATCAGTTCAGTATTTCCGTCCTGTATTCCAGGATTCACGCATACCCTCAGCATCTTTTCCAAGTTAGCCTTAGCCATGTCTATGGCTCCGTTGGACACTTCTTCGGTAAGATCCATCATCACGAACATCAGAGCTTTCAGAAACACGAACAGATGATTAAGGACCCACTTCGTCGCCATTCGTTCGAAAAGGAACTTGATCGCTATACAGCCACCCAGTTTAGCGTACCAGGCACGTTCGTAACAGAGGGAGCACATCTTCTCTGCTAAATATTCCATTAGAGGCAACTGACAGGCTCGTTCTTTCGAGCCCAGAATATTGGTCGCGGTTTCCAAGATGAGAACTAAAGCTAGGTGACCAGATTTGTAAAGTTCTTTTTCCTCGTGGCCCATGATGACTGCCAGAGCATCGATCAGAACCAGGGGATCCTGACCCTGCATGCGTACTTGTCTTCCAGTTAGACAGAATGGGCCAGATTGCTGAGCTATCGCCACCATCGTGTAATGTCTTACAATTGATACAACAGTACCTAGCACAGAATGTCTCAATTCTTTGATCTCCGCAGCGACGAACAGTCCAGTCAGAGCAGTCTGCTGGACATTCCTCGCGACCGAGTCTGGACATTTGTAATGAGGTCCTTGCTGGTGAGGAATCTTGCCCTCTTTGAAGGCTGGATGCATGAACAGTTTGTAGAGCACAGCATTATTATCGTCCAGTCGCAATGAAGCAGCAAGGTAGCAACTTATCACTTCCCAACACTGTCTACGGTAAAACGAGTCGGTGTTGTTCGATTTCAGGGCGTTGAAAGCGGTCTCGATAACCTTCTCCACCGTGAAATCGATGGGTTTAGTGGGTTCTTGAAAGTAGACGACCACAGCTGGTGAATTGGTCTCGCGATCATTGTACTCTAGCTTTTGCGGCTCGATCATCATCTTCCTGTTTCCTCCACCGAACTTACCCAGAACTCGGAAAGCCACGTGAGCCTGGTCGGTTGGATTGTGCAAAGTTCGCCAAAGTGCTTGCATCAGGTCCGCTCGAACTGGTTGTATGTGCTCGTAAAGGAAATCTGGTTGAAGATTGTCCACACAGAGCTCCAAAGTTCGTAATCCTTGACTGACTAAACAGTAGCTACCGTTCAGAGCTGAGACAAGAGGATCCATCAGCATTGGGAGGTAAGGCAAGAGGGAACTGAGCCTTACCGGCACCGTGAGACACAATTCAACGAACAGATCTTTCATGTGTTGCCTGTGTAGACCGGACTGCAGTCTATTCAAACCTTCCAACATATTCGGAAGCAGTGGCAAGAACTCTTGGTACAGGAGATCGTGAGAACCGCCTCCGATTGATCTGAACAGAGCACGAAGCAGAAGAAAATAGTTGTACGGTTCCTTCGCTGACATCGCCAATTCTATTGCCCGATTGACTATCTGATTCAGGTGTGGCCTCAACATGTGTTCATTCTCAGCGGGAAAGAGGGACACGCTACCAAACACCAGCTTAAAGAGTCTCAAATACAAATTGCTTCTTTCCACGTTCGAGCCCATGTCGCCCATTCGTTCCAGTAGGTATTCAACCAATATGGTTGCAAACGTAGACGATATCGTCGGACTGGACAGAAAGGCGCTACCAATGATTTGCAGTGCACAATTCTTAAAAATCCTCTCGACCATGTAGTCGATGGAAGTCGAGAATATTTCTTGGAATGTCTGAGGATTCATTTGCGTGAACACGTTACCAAACAGCTCCAGAACTTCCTTCTCTTCCCTCGTGCGAATCGTTTGAGATTGGGCTGGTCTTCCTGGCTGTGCGATGGCTCCGATGGTAGGAGGGCCGATCGTGTAAATATCTAACGCTGGCAATGCCCATTTCACCAACTTGATGTACACCAGCGTCTCCTTCGACTGAAACTGATTGGACTGTGTCACCTCGCCGGTTTTAGAGTTGATGCAGTTCGAGGTAATTGCCTTTGCACCGTGCACTAAACTCTTCACCAGGTTCCTGTAGTCGGCCACGTTGAAGCTCATCGCTTGGGAAGAAGGAAAACCGAACTTGGACTTCCCAGCCTCTTTGTCCTCGTTCAGATCAGGGATGACCGGCTTGACGTCCTCGGTTTTGATGTCCAAGCCAGGAGGAGTCATTTGCTTCGCCTTGTTGCGTAGAATCGGTATATAAATCTTCGCGATCGTTTTGAATTTCAAAACGAACACTAGGAGAATCCTCATCAGTAGCTCCCTGCCTTGGGTACTGTTCTCCGCGTCGGATCTTTGCCTGACGGTGTCCACCAGGTTCATCAACAGTTTACAAGATACCATCTGGACGGCCGTTGGAAGACTCTGATCCAGCAAATTTTTACTGTACAGATGCACGGCTCTGGAAACGTCGCTCAATGGTAACAGTAATCTGACATGATGAACCAGATCCGCGAGGGTCGAGTACGCTAAAGGTCTAAGAGACTCGTGGGTCGTCCATCCTCGGCCGATGAATATGTCCTCGTCGAAGAAGCACTCCATGTGCGGTATGAATTTGTTACGTAAATCGGTGGCCAGTATATGCCTGGACGCTATTACTAATTCTTTTCGCAAATGGGCCACCTCCATCGGGCACAATGTGAACAAACCTAAGATACCTTTCACCAATATGGAACTGTGCTGGGACACCACGTCCTGATAAATTCGGATCACGTACGCTAAGAAAGATAATGTCTTGATCTGAGCTCCCATGAAGTCGACGAAGACCTCCTTGTTGAATCCTGGCGATGCTCTGTGCTGAGGGCTCGGTTGCAGTGTTATCGTCGTTATCACTAGGGGAATGAAATCCGAGACGTCTTGGTGTACGTTTTGCTTGTACAATTGGTTCATCAACACCACGATGATCGGTAGCTCTTGGAGCACTTTGAGAGACAGCACTGCCTTGGGAATGAGGTTATACTGCGAAGAAATTTGTTTCTTGTAATAATGTCGCTTTAATGAACAGCTCAAGATTTTGTTTCTTGAAATACTTACCGTAACGACAGTGCCATCCGCTGCTTTCTTCTCGCTTTGAATCGCCGTTATAGTGAAAGTTTCTTTTAGAAGAGCCTCTATGTTTATCTCCGACAAATCTTTCACCCTCAACGGTGGACGAGGCTCGAATATTTTTGGCAAATTCTTTGGTAACTCACTGTACACTGATTTCACGAATTGTAGAAAATATTGTATCTGCGCAAAAAAGGCACGACAAATAAAACATTAGTGTTAGTTTCTAAAATATTTAATCACTTCGTAAAAGATTAAAGGAATTCCTACCTCTGGGTTAAAAGTCGGTTTGTACTGTTTGTGCAGCTCGATGATGATCCTCAAACAAACCAACACGTTCTCCTCGTTGTCGGTCTCCAACAGCTTCGACATAAGGCTCAATATCTGTTTCACGTACGGACGTAGATGGTCGTTGCTCGGCAATCTGTGTATCATTTCTAAGATCAATTTCCTAACTTGCTGTATGTTGTATTCCGATATGAAGTGAGGTTCGCCTTCTTGGAGAATCTTTAAAAATATTTTCATCATGTGATCAAGAAATGCCGGATACTGGGAAGAACACATGATGACCTGCCGAAGAAGAATCGTGGATGACACTTGATTCTGGGCGATTTAAACAACAATTCGTTCGACGAATCTGGAGAGGGGGTACCTCAAAATTCTCCGACAATTCTTGAGCGGCCTTCAGCTTCAACTCGTCCTTCGAGACCGGATCGGCCAGCATGGTCACGTACGAACGGTACGTGTTCATCTGCGTCACTGGGTCCGGTGGTGCCATTTTGATTGTTCAATCAAAATCTCGCGTTCCGCTACGTCTGGTCCATTAGAAAACCTGCGAAAAATCAAACGTCAAACACCATCATAAGATTTCGAGGATTGATTAAAAGATTAAAACATAAAATGTACAGCCCTTTGGAAAATCAATGAAATACAACACACGTTAGGCTGTGTAAACAATCCCTAGCAACTGCTCGTTCGCCAGTTTTCTCGACTTTTAGTTAAGTTCTAGATTTTCTTTTTACGAATCGACACGTTTGATCTTAGACAACAATAAGAGTCACTACGTTGAAATTTATTAACGCAAAAAACATTGAGAACCCGGGTGACGGATCTTTATCACGAATGGTAGAAATATGTAGTACGGAGATGTTAGTGAACCACGAATATATATCCACTCAGTATAAATGCTCGCGAAATTCTGGACACGATCTCAGTATCGTTGTAATGTTGCTGGTAACCTGATGCAACTGAGATCCATTCGTAAGAGAATAACAACGATTACAACGGTGAAAAAATGGACGAAGCAACTATAGATTCGATCTTCGCGGGATCTTTGAAGTCCCTGCCTGCTGTCAGCTCTAAAATCGTCAGAATATTCACAAGTTCCACCTTTACCGGTAAGTTAGACTCATAAGTAGCGGAAGTTTATGAAAATTAACAACTTCAGGCACTAATATCTGAAAATTAAAATGCTGCAGAATTTTGAATTTTGTATTAAAGGCTTAACCATGTTGATAATAACACGTAAATAATGTTAAAACCTTATTAAAACCTTTATTTTATTGCATTTTCCAAGTTAACGGATGATATAAATGCATAAACATCCGCGGTCTACTCATAAGAGTCTAAATCTTCGTTTGTTTCTAAACGATGAATATTTTAATCCAGACACCGCGATGGAGCGTAATACCTTGATGGCACAATGCTACCCCAAACTGAAGGACTATTGCAGGGAAAAACACGGATTGGAGTTTCAGGTAATTACAGAATCGTCTAATCAAAATATGTTCCAACAATTAATAGATTAGTATAATAGATCGCAATTGATAGCGATTGGTTCTCTATACATATACTTGAAAGATATTGCGCATATCTGTGGAATCGTGTCTAAAGATTGCCAAAATCTGTGTTCTGCTCAGACGACCTTGAACAATTGATTTCCATCGTACCAGGTACCAGTTCCTGACACGAACGAAACTTTTCCCAAACTTTGAATGCTAAATTTCAAGCTGAACATCAAGTTAACCTGCCACTTACCGAATTGAATTCTAATTTTATGTATCGAATATAAATGATCAACAAACACAATTGCAGGTAGTTGACATGAGATGGGGCGTGAGGGACGAAGCAACTGACGATCATATGACCACGGAGCTCTGTATGAGGGAAATAGAAAATTGTCAGAGACTCTCTATGGGTCCGAATTTTGTGGTAACAATTGGAAAAATTTACCCATATGAATTTGTTAATCTCGGAACCATGCGATATATCTCTTTATTTTTCTAGGTTTTTCTTGGACAAAAATACGGTTATCGTCCTATCCCAACGTACGTCCTCAGTTCTGAATTGGAAATGTTACGAACGGAATTGGACGGTCAGGGAATGGACGTTAGTCTTCTGGATAGATGGTACAAAAAGGACAGTAACGCTGTACCACCGATGAGTATTCTCCAACCAATATCATCCATTTTGAAAAATTTCAACAACAAAGTACAGAATCTTTTTCCTTCTAGCTAAGAAGAAGACAGTGAGTTGTTTGGGTACTAAATTTTCGTATTTTAGAGAATACCGAAGCTCCAGCAGGAGGATCAGGCAATTTGGTGGGATACAATGATAAAGATGCAGAAACTGTTCAGAAAAGGGGCGCAGTCTTTGTTCAATACGGGGAAATTCGACAAAGATACGATGCATAATTATTTCATGTCTGGTACGAAAGATCAACTAATTATAACATAATGTTATTCTAATTATTATTTTTCTACAGTAACCGAGAGGGAAGTCATTAATGGTGTACTGAATGTAAAGAACACGAAGAATCATTGTCTGGCCTATGTAAGGTACATAAACAATATCAATCTACAGAATTTAAGGAAAGCCAATTTGTTCTTGGACATAGCGAACAGAAGCTTGGACAACGAAGCTTCGAAATTGTTGGCGAACCTGAGGGACGAAAGACTTCCGGAGAAGATCGAGACCACGAATCTGCAAAGGTATTTCGTAGCTAAAAACGTGGATTCAGTATTACAATTGTTCTTCAATTATATCGATTTAGATACACTGTGGAATGGATTGGTCGAGAAGGTTTAGACCCAGAGACCCACAGTGAGTACCTTCAGCACTTCATAACGCATTTTTATCGGAACATAGTGAAACTGGTGGATCGGGCAATGAGGAAAGAGGACAGCTCCGCGCAGGGACAGATCATAACAGAAATGCTACAGCATCTGCACGCCTGTAACAATTCTGTCAGAGTACGTTCAATTAACGAGAATAAATTACTCGAGCTTTATATTCTACTTTTTACATCCGAAACGAAATACAAACTTAAAATATTGATGAGTGTCCGAAGGCTCCTCGGCACTTAGTGTTTAGACGTCGTCTCCACCATCAAGCGCCCAGTGGTCGGGATGACGTCTGAACAGTCATTGTCAGTGCTGAGGAGCCTTTGAATACTCATCGATGGTTTACTGTGTTCAGGTGTTTTATGGTCGAGAAGACACCCTGGTGAGGATCAAGGAATACATGTTAGATGATAGCGACAAGCCTCTGGTTCTGTATGGCGAAGGAGGGTGTGGAAAGACATCTTTATTAGCAAAGAGCGCTGGACTGACGAGTGGAACATGGCTAACTGGGAAAAAGCCTATCAACATTATCCGATTTCTTGGCACCACCCCTGACAGTAGTGCCCTGACACCCACACTGATTTCCATTTGTCAACAGGTGAGTAATTAATACAGGATATCGCAGTTAAATGTGTCCCCCCGAATATCTGTTTTAATTGTGAAAGTGCCAAAAATATTTTATACTGTATAATCATGTTACTTTTTGGTAATATAACATGGATCTTCTACCATATATGTGTAGATCTCCTACAACTTCATGTTGCCCTTCGAAGAAATACCGGACGATCTTGTGCCATTAACAGCCTATTTTAAATACTTACTGACACTCGCCACCAATGAACAACCGATTCTGTTATTTCTGGACAGCGTCGATCAATTAACCGGGGTGCAAGGGAACAAATTATCCTGGTTACCCACTAGACTACCAGTAAACTGCAAGGTATTTAATGGAAGTAGTGTCTGACGTTCAGGTGAAGCAATTCGAGATCTTGATCTAGATGATGCTGTCCTGCGCTGCCGAGGAATCGAATCCCGTGATCTCTCGGGATTATCAGTTGCTACGTAGAATGATAGACACGGAGGAGAACTTCATCGAAGTGGTCGCTCTAGGAGAGGATCTGGCTATGGAAGTTATAAGGTAAAGGAAGTACGAAATATCTCCAAAAGTATTTTCATACAGAATGATGTCGTTCTCAGGATGTGGATGAAGACAGCACACAGGGACTTGAACAATTATCAATGGCGCCTGGTGGCGAACGCCATATCCAAATGCTCTCTACCAATTTTCGTGAAGTTGGTCTTCGCAGAAATCTGCAGATGGAGGAGTTACACGAAACCAGCCGATACCCATTTAACCAGCACCGTGATGGACAGTATTATGATGCTGTTTGAAAGAATCGAAAAACAACATGGTAAAATTCTGGTGTTTCATGCATTGGCTTATATCACTGCTGCCAAATCAGGTCTATCGGAATCGGAATTGGAGGATCTGATTTCGTTGGACGACAAAGTACTGGACGACGTCTACCAGTACCATTTACCACCCGTTAGACGAATTCCCCCCTTACTCTGGACCAGGATAAGAAACGATCTGCCGAATTATCTAAGCGAACGTGAAGCTGACGGCGTCAGTGTGCTCAACTGGTATCACAGACAGTTCAGAGACACAGCCAAGGAGAGATACTTCAAAAACATGAACATGGCGATGTATTTTCACTCGATGATAGCCGATTACTACCTTGGAATCTGGGGAGGAGGACGCCCTAAACCATTCAAGTACACCGAGATTCAAAGACATCGGTGAGTGATCAATTATTTTGATCATTTTTCAACATATCACTAGAGATCGATCGTCATTTCTAGATTCAATTTAGCCGACAAGGAAGGCGTTGCGGACAGAAAAGTACCCGAACAACCCCTAGCGTTCTATTCGAAGGAAGGAACGATCACTAGATACAATCTAAGAAAGGTAAATAAGAATATCAGTGCTATACTTCGATCATTGAATCGTTCTCAATTTTCAGTTCGGCGAACTGCCGTTCCATTTGGTCAGATCGCGTCGATTCAACGATCTCTTTGAGAACGTCCTGTTCAATTATGAATGGCTGCACGCGAAGCTCAGCTCGTGCCCGCTGCAAGCAGTGCTGTCGGACTTTGAGGATGCCTGTACCTTCATCGACAATCAGAGTATCGTCAGGTAACGTTTCGACTAGTAATAAATAATAACACGCTATAATTTTCAATATTACTTTCTCACTCTGTTATTCATTATTAACACTTTGCTGGCGGGAGGGTTTTTGTGTTTGCAAATATACAACTTCAGGTGTTTTAAAAATATTTAGAAACTACTACTTAATTTGTATCTGTCAAGATTTACATATGAGGAAAAGCGATTTTTCCCTATTTTTCACTATTCTAGTTCTTACTTAAGAAAGACGTGCCACCGCGTCAACCGACCCCAGTTTTTGCTTCTGAAAAGACGTACTACTGCGTCATCCGATATCAAAGTGTTAATAATTTGTTCAGAGAGCTGATGTTGGTCGCTGACGCGCTCAGATTAGGGGGTGCGATTCTGAGCTCTCATCCAGATATGCTTGCACCTCAACTGATCGGACGACTACTACCGGAAATAGGGGGCAATGTCAACGTGAAAATGTTGCTTCGAGCCTGTGACAACGATGGCGCGAAGAATTGTGCTTTGCTCCCTGTTTATCATTGTCTGCACACTCCTGGAGGACCTCTAAAAGTAATTCAGGTAGCAGATTCGTTTGACTCGATAACATTAATCTCTGAATCTTTCAGTACTCGTTGGAGGGTCATCAGTTCGCGGTGTTCGGCTTCTGTCTAACGTCCGACTACCGATACGTGGTTTCCATATCAAACAGATTCATCACCTGGGACCTGAGCACCAGCGACATGACCAGGGATGTTAATCCAGGCGTGGAGGGAATTATGCAGAATTTGGTTTTGAGTCCTGATAATCGATACGCGGCTGCATTTACGACCAACAATCAGGTTTCTAAGAATGGCCTAAGAAAGTATAATAACGGAGTCTTAAGTTCTTTAAAGGACTGATCTAAAGACTTAACACTTGCGTCGTATTGAACACTTTGACCAGCGAGTTTGTTACCATTGACAATCCTCTGCCAAACGAGGATCCAGTGTGCGGAGTACATTTGATGAATCAGTTCTTCTTCGTCTACGGGAAGCTGGGATGGTGCACATTCGATCTACGGGGAACCCTACTGGAGACTCACACAAATCCCGAGGATTCTAATAAATGGCCAATTCTGAGTAAGTGGACACGAAACTTTATTCTCACGTGGAAGTATAAAAAATATATATCTAATTACATAGATGTGGAACATTCGACTTTGGGCGACTACAGAATAGTGTTCTGGTCGGGAAACATGGACGACACTAGCATGCTTCTGCACACTTATAGGAAGAAAGGATCTTTGGATCCTCTGAATTTTCATAGGTGAAATATCCGTTTGATGTTGATTTCTTTGACTTGGGTGGATTTTTAAGAACATACATCTTGCAGTGTTCTGTCGATGACTAATGATAAAACGGTCCTATTCACTTGTACGAATAACATTGATAACCGAGTCACAAAATATACCTGCGACGAGACCTCCTCGCAATGGGAAAAAGCTTTTGATATGCCTAGAGCTTACAACGATGACGTTGAATACTTGTTGCAGTTGAAATTGGACAGAGAGGAGGAAATGCTTTTAGCTAGCAGCGCGAATGGTTTTATCGTTTGGTTTCTGGAGAATAAAAGTGACGCATACGTGTTAACGTTGCCGAACGGAGTACGAAATATTAGCACGAGAATGATGTACTCGAATTCGATAATGGTCAGTGGTACCAAGAATTACGCTGTTGCTGGTGTGAGGTGTGTTTTATGATAAATTGATAAAGCAATCGTAAGCGAAATAAAATTAATTAACGTTTATTTCGCAGGAAAAACTTATATGTTTGGAGCTTAGAGACAACCGAGTTGGTGAAGATATTGGACGCGCACTTTGCAAGAATAATTCAATTGGAAGCACTAACAGTTGGAAACTGGAACAGTGTGGTCACGTCGAGTATTGATAGAAGTGTTAAAGTATGGAATATAAATAACATCTTTGAACAAGTCCATGTCATAGATAGGCATGAACTACAGGTAGACATGATAAGGTAATACAGGTATGAGTTAACCATATGCCTGTAAGTTAATTTTCATTATGACATCTTCTCAATTATGTAGCCTAGCAGAAGAGTGTAACTTGGCAGCAATAGTCACCAGAGACTGTGTTGGAATCTGGGACTTGCAAACTGGAAAGTTGATTTCAAAATTAGCAGACAGTCCTTTGGGGGCAATTGTTACACATGCTTGTATGACACACGATGGCAAGTCAGTAATTGTGGAGCAATTAAATACAATAAATGTATATCTACTGAAATATAAATTAGTTTAAATATTCCATTGTAGATACATTATTTCAACGGAATCGGGCAATGTATTAGTATGGAACAGAATCACAGAACAAGTGTTGTTCAAAGAAGAGCAACAGCATGTGAAACAGTTGACGTTAATTGAAAACTCAGCTAAATTTATAGCGGTTTCGAGACCTAAAAATCCTGCTGGGGTAGAAAATATGAAGACCACTGCAACCCTTGTTATGAGAACGATACCTGGTACATGCTGATGCTAATTAATAGAGTAGTTCAATATTATTATTAGTAATTATTATAACTAATAATGACTAATTACTTGATAGATGGAAAAACATTATTTTCATTGGAATATTTAGTCAGAAGCCAGACAGGTGCATCGTTCAGAAATGTTGTAATAACATCTGACAATGCTTGCCTGATCGTTCCAGCAGCTGATAAAGGCAGCCGAGATTGCATTATGATTTACAATGAAAAAACGGGTGCACTGATAAGCAAAATTCCTATAAAATTGCCAGGATTTAAAGTAAGAAAAACAGTAGTTTGTACCTTACACGTATATATTTATATATTTTAATAGGATATTATATCCATAATACCCATGCCCAATAAACCTCAATGGGTAGGGATAATTGGAGCAGACAAAGGTACTATTTTGGATATAAATAAGAAGAAATTTATTCGTACTATTCCAAAGTGGAGCGGAAATATTAGCAAGGATGGAAAATATACATTATATGCACCCAGCAGGTAATTTCAGTTGGAGTGAAATAGGGTATGAAATGGTACTTTAATATCTCTATTGTCACAGAGGAGGCTTAGAACTTCTTGAGTTAAGAAGAGGTACTACTGTTAAGACTTATATTCCAAAAGTAGCAGAAGGAGTTTTCACTGTTATATCCATGTTCAACCGAACAGACGAATATGTCCTTTATTACCATAGTGGAAGAAAAACCATACGTGTATTTAGGTAAATGTATATTCAAATTACATTTACAGGATCACAAAATTTTATCCAAGTATCTAATTTCTAGATCATCGGATTGTGAGATGATAGCAAATTACAGAGTACAAGCAGAATTAAGTGCAATTGACAGCACTTATGATGGTAAGAGTATAGTTCTAGGTACGGTTGATGGTTGTGTATCAGTGCTAGCTATTCTGGATCCCAAGAAAGAAGAAATGAAAGAATATGTTTCAAACTTACCATCTCGTGATGAAGACGTAAGTAATTAATTCTTAATGTTACTATCTTATTACACTATACATTTTCAAATACATCATAAAAACTCTACACGTGAAAAAAAAATATATTTCGAATTCCTCACTGATTTTACTTTATGCTGAGTTTCTAGTCAATTCCTAAGAGTAATGCTGCAATCGAAATTAAATTCTCCGAGTACTCAACTTATTCACAGGTTTGTCAACCAGCGAAATAGGTTAGGGTAAACACTTGCCGCATTGTTGAATAAAAACAGTTTAAAATAGTTACCAAGCTTTAGAATGGAAATAGATTCGAAGTATTCCATTAGAGTGAACTTAAAACATTTCGCAACACTTTATTACAATCGTTTTTCTTAAAATTTTAGACATCACAACATCCCGCTTAAACACGAAATAAAACGCAATTTTTGTCTATGAAAGATATTACATTGTAATATAGTTTTTAAAGTATACAAAATTTTCGTCAAAATTGTTAACAATTACCTTACTTCATTTGTTTACCAAAAATATAAAACTATTCATACAACTCAGATACGAACTAACAAACTTAAAACGTTCTCTCAAAACACTCAACCACGATTTTCTTTCGCTCTTACTCTCTCACTCTTATGGATAGGAAAGCATCAAACTTAGAGACATCTGATACCAACTGTGTAAAAAGCATAACTATAGAGAATCCTTATACGATTTTTTCACTAGGAAAATCATGTTTTGATAGGTAGAGTCCAGTAATAACAAATATTGGCATTTCAAGTATTGTAGTTCCATAATGGGTAAATTATACGTTATTAATTTCTTTATTTTTAATTGTATTCGTTATAACTTGTAGCACCCATCAGTGAAAAAGACATACAAAATTAATATATAAGTAGAGAATTATATGATAACAGTAGGTACTGAGTCTGGTGTAAAAATCATGTCCCTAATTTATGAAACTATCAATTTTTATATTTTTTTTTTACCCAATGTAAGAACAGAGATACATAAATGATACAAAAATCTATCACTTGTTTTACATGAAAGAGAACATAGGTCATGTATTACATTTTAAATAATATTTTAAAGTACGAATTAACATTTTTTTTAGTGGAAAAAGAAAACTGAGAAACAACGAGCAGCTATTAAATTCAAAGCAGCTGCTCGAATTGCACGAGTAACTCACGACTTAAGTACGATCGTGCGAAGCACTAACATTGCAGAAACTATTGAGGAATTAGACGAGAATGCTGAATAAAATTGCAATGGTTTTATAGTAAAGTAGTAATAAATGTGAAACAAAAGTTTTAGAATTTATATTACATTTATTTGTGTCTTTTCATGTAATTAATTTTATAATCTTTCTTTTCTTTCCGTTTTACATTTTCTCCGCGTTTAAAAAGTAAAGGGCACGAGACGAATTCCGTAGTCATTGTAAATGAAATTACTCCTAAGTACAAGCTAGACAGCAATTACCCTTGCACAGACATAGTTCTTGTTTTCTTAAATAACAATTCTCTCGCTTGCTCTATGCAAGGGAATATCTTTTCATCGTACAATGTTGCGTCGCGACCGAAGACGTCTCGTGCCGACGCAGGCGTGATCAAGTGTAACATTTGCGTTTCTGTTACTTGTTTACAAATTTTTAGCGATCGACAGTACCATAGTGAGCGATTTAAGACGAATGTATTCTGATGTATGAATGAACGTAAGATGTCAGTCAGTTACGAAATTGAGTGAGTCGCGCGTGAATGTTTTTCGTTGATCGTTTGCTTTTCGATTACGGTGTTACATTAAAAATTGTTGAACCGTTTCATACGGACTTAAATCATATCGCGACGACCGATTTGTGGTTTTTAAAAAATTGGTACTTGTATGGCAATTGAATCATGCTACCACCATGTATATCAATAATCTGTAAACAACTACTAAACGTATTTTGTAACAATGTAAAACTAAACTAAAACACACCTGCATCAGAGCACATGTACGAACAATAGTTCCAGCAGAACATAAGGCGTATGGCAGCTTGTTTGATAAAATAAACAGCACCCTTCATCGAAGAGTGAGCTCTATACAAAAACTCAAGTATGATGTAAATCCATTGCTTTACAAAATGCTGCTCATACAATACAATCAATGTATTTGAAACTTATTCAGAATTTTAATATTCGATTTACACTTTGCTTTCCACAAAATGCACTGAGATCGAAACAAACTGAATTTTGTCTATAATGTTGGTTTTCATGATAGGTTTATCTAGTTCTGCAATGGTTTTTTATATCCTGTTTCATCATTTCCTACTTTTCCTCAAACACTGGAACTTCTGTGAAAGCATTGGTAGCTTTATTTGTGGTGTAGTGCCTTTTTGAACCTTTATTGCATTGCACCTCCTTTTTGCTTTTGCTGTTGTTGCTGATCCCGTTGTTGTGCTTGTGCTTCTGAATCTTTAATATGTTTTTCAACCTGAAAAAGTTGTATGCATTATGGTAAATATGTTCCTCATACTGTCACACTGTGTCAGCTAAACTACACACCACTTTTTTTACATGTTTGTATGCTCCAGATTCTGCGTTACCATGCACATTGTCAACTTTGTAGGGAGGTCTAATCGTGACTTCGGCAAATACAACAATATTTGCTCCATTCCACGTAACTCCCGGAATAGTCTTTGATATAGTACTGAAGAGTTTTTGTCCCTCTGGAGATACTCCGGCCTGCAGAGCCATTACCAGATTCTTCTTCTCTTCGATTTGATTACGTACTCTTTTGTTTAGCTTTTGCAAATTAAGGCTTTGTGGTGGTTCACTAGTTGTGGGGCTAACTTCCCATTTGACTTGGACTTCAGATACCAAGGATAAATTTACTATGTGTACGTCGTTTAATGTAGGTGCCCCACTCGAAGAAGGACATTCTGATTGTTGTCAGTTAAGGAATCATCGGAAACATCTGGTATAAAAGCTCAACATACTTTCAACTTAGAAATACTTCTGTCAGAATGAGTCTCCTATCAATGTGGACTTTAAGGTTATAATCAAACCAATCTTACTTTTCTTATCATGCAGGAGAATTTTTGTTTGCGATTTCTGTGGGTGACGAAGGTGAAAGTATCACTCGAGATCATGGAAATACATTAGAGATCGGATCAACCGAGAAATAAAACCAATGGAAAATCCAGCATGGTTGATTGAATGACGAAACTAACCTGACTTCGTGTAGCTGGTTAGAAAATCACCAAATAATTGACAAGCGGTTTGGCATGTTGCCCGTGAAAAATCGCGAAACGGAACGTAATTGTCGTCGATTAAAACTCACGAAATCCGTCACAGATTATGCGAAAGTTATTTACACTGTGGCAATGTTAAACGAGCGACGGATGAGTGCTGGATACATATACATGTCGGGAACGGCGACATATTGAGGGAATTTATAAGAAAAGGATACTGAGGATCAGCATTTTAGTTTGTGGATCGAATGCTAGCACCTCGCCTTCGATCTCCTCCTTGTAACAGGTTTTACAGGCCACCGTACTCCCAATGCTGAAACAATCGTTGGCGCCGGCCATTTTTCACTACGAACTCAGAACCGCGGGCTCCCTGTCGCCATCTGTTCTAATTTCAAATGTCTCTCAAAATTCACACCATTTGTGCCATTCCCAGTGTGCGTCGCGTCTCGTACTGCTTGGACGATACGCACCACGTTAATAAACAGTTATTAATTGAATAATTTGATAAATTTGTGTGACCATGTTGTCATTTAACACGGAATTGCTCATCATTGTGCTCGGGAATGAGGTGAGCTGTTTGTGTAGTGGTACAGCAGCAATTTGTTTTTCCTATTAGAGTCTGGATAAAATTAGAAGCCCGCCATTTCATTATAAACGTTGGATGCATGCGTCTTTATTTATCTTTCAAAGTAGACTTAGAAAGAGAAAGAAAACAAAGATGATAGAACTTGATATTGAATGGAAAGTTCACAAGGCCGGTAAAGATGGTACATAATATCTTTGTCGGTTTTAGGACAACATTAGGATTTTTGTAACTTCTATCCTGATAGACTTTTTGTATTAAATACAATATTTTCGTAATTTTCATAATCAATAATTCTGCTTCCAGTACGTTCTGCTAATCATCGATTACGAAACATTTTATTATTTCTAAACGTTGCACTGAAAGTTCAGTGTTCTCTCTAACTGTAATTTTGAGGGGTAGGCGAATGATTTTAACATTTACGTACTCTAGTATCTACATAACCTTTGGGTTTTTACACAAATTAATGCATCCCTAATAAATTTTTTATTCATTTATCTAATTAGTTTTCGATTTTCAGGTTGCACGAGACATGGCACGTTCACCAGGCCGATCCTCGGCCGTCTTCGTTCATCGTTCGAGAAACTTCGTTCAAATTCGGGGTGCGTCGGGGAGATTCGGGTTGGCGGGTAGTTCCGTTAGTCGCGTGGCTTCGGACCTTCAGTGTATAGATATCGCTCCGCCGGAGAGTAACGTGGTAACGTTCCTTATCGGATTTTTCAATTTTTCTCGCGACTATCAACGGGAAAAGTGACAACTGAGTGATTACCACCTGCATTATCAACAGAACGCAGTGTCCATTGTTATACACAGTGATCCAGTTCCAGTTCCTTCAGCATCTTTTTCGTGATGCGTGAGTAATTATTTTAAACATATTTTCACTTTCAATCGAGTTTCATTTCAGGGGAAATATTCTTTTTGAATGTCTTGTCCCTTTTTTAATACAGAGGGTTTCATTGATATTTGTACTATCAAAAATAGGCTGACCTTCCTCGTAGTTTGTCCTAATACACAATAATGGATTGTCAGGCTGACATTTATCAGCGAAAAGCTTTTTGATGAATCCACTAACACTATACGAAAGTTAATGGAAATGGGAGATGTTAGCGTGTGAAACTCTAGACACGATATCCGTACGTGTCACGATTAATGGCGGTCTGTAATTGTTAGGCTTTATACATAGTTTGAAAAACAGAACGTTATCGGTAAGTGGGCAATTTAGTTGCTTACAAAGTTCTACATTGTTCGAAGAAAACTGAGTTTCGTACTGTCGTGGAAGCTAAAAAAAAATCCTTATGGTACTTAATTTATTAAAATTGTCAACAGAACTGGAGTAGTTAAAATTATTCATTTTTCTTGTAGTTTTTTCTTCAGTTAACAAAATTGGGGATTCGGCTGTTTATCAACAAGGCCGTTATTCATAAATTCTTACACTTGTTTGAACATCGATGGTAATCATATTTGTTTCACGAGGTTGAACTCGTTTTATTGAAATTGTCCGCGATCTTTGGCGTTTCGAGATTAGCAGTTTCGTTGATTTCACCGATTACTCATGCGGACATTTGTTTCCTCCACGCAGAAAATAGTTATTTCGATTGATTGCACCCTTTGATCCTGTTGTGGAGTGATGGCCCATGTTTACTCATATTTCTAAAGTGTAAATTGCTCAAAACCCATTTTATCAATTCTGGATAGACAATGCAATATAAAGTTTGAACTTTTATCCAAGTTCCAGTAAGCAACTAATTATCGTAAAACTTTCAATTCAATTGTCGTCTTAATCTTAGAAGATGTGCGACTACGCACACGATCATCAGACCTAGTTTTGTACATGTTCACCGAGGAACCTACAAAGTGTCCTCTATACTCCAATAATTCTCGCCATTTAATACGTATTTTCGATAACAATGGCCAACATCTCCCTACATCGATCCTCATATATATTCGATTATGGGTTTCTGATCTCTGAGAATTTACGAGACTGTTTGTGATTATACAATGGGACGAAAAACCAGACGTGAACACTCGGTCCTATGAATACCCGATAGATTGGAAAATAGTATTCGGTATATATCTGCGGGGTGACAAGCCGCTGCCGTTCCACAGGGGTATGAATCACCTGCGCGAACCGTTTTCACCACGCACGCCGGAATTCTGTCTACGAATAGCATATTAATTCTGTCATTTTCCTTGCTATCTCCATAAACGACCCAGAGGGGAACCGGTATGCCGATCAAATCCAGTCATTACATTGCGTTGTTTTGTTTGCAACTGCTTCATTCCTCGATCCCTTAATTGCTCGGCCACTGTATGCACTCTCGAAGAATTATATTTTTCCACAGAAGTATTTTTTTTTGTTGGTTGTAAACTGATAGTGATAGTTAACTTTGGAACGAATCCACGGATCGTGCTTCCTCGAACCATAAAGCTTACAGATACACCGCAAAAGCTACTCGACTTTTGCGTATATGGTCCGCCTAACAAGTCAGTAAAAATAACCAAAACATTCGCGTGCTAAGTACAGCTATTGGTTGGGAGTTACCTCTGTCCCACCTAAATAGTCTTCACTAGAGTACGAATTGGCCTAATGAAATATTCAATAGCCCTCTCCTGTGTTTTCTTTTTTTTTTCGCTCTAGCGGTTGTCGATCTTTGAGACGACTCTCTTTTTCCTCTCGTTCTTTGCCAGTTAGATGCGCCTGGCCACAGGTAAGGGACACGATCGCACGTGTCACAGACTCATAAATAGAATACGCGAACGCGGGTTTTGCATTTGGTTGGGAGCGTGGTGGTTCGGAGAACGTAAATCAGCGGATACCACGTCCGCTCGTGGTATTGTGCAGAGTCCGTCTTTTAGGAAAACATTATCGGAACTAGGCCAAAACAGGGGGGGGGGGGATCGAGTCCATCGTGTAACACTTTATCATCGCGGACCTTCTGCAGAAATATCGTTCAAGAGACAGCTCGATAAATCTTATCCCGTGAATGGAAAATACGGAACGGGGACGAAAATTTGCTTTTCCTTTCTCGATATTTCGGTTGATTTCCGATGACACCTTCCTTTGGATAATTCCATTTCCGATGATACAGATCTGGTGTCTTGTCGTGGACGAAGTCGTTTACCAAGAACTTTGGTGCATTCGGTGGACTTGTATCTGGGTCGACTGGTCGTATCGAATCGCTTTCTGAAAATTCGGTCGACATAATCGAAACGGCTCTAGGGAACACCGGTAACGAACGAAAATCTCGCGTATTGTCGAACAGTGTGATATTTTATGAATCCAGCTAAAGTAAGTACCTACATGGAGCACCATTGATTTCAGACAAATACGCTTGCTTAGAACAAACGTTGTAGCTATTGTGATTGTCTTTTCCTGCAAAAGAAATTTTTTTATTTTGGTTAATATAGTTATTTTGATCATTATTTAAACACATTTCGATGTCCATAATATCATAAAAATTTACATAATTTTGTTCGGGAAAGTCCAGAGAATAATTTCCTCTCAAAAGCAACTAAATAACTATTACTGTTGATGTGCAAATCAACTACCAAAATAAAAAACATATTTTCAATACTCAGCCAATACTTATAAATCATAGAAAAAATTTTGCTTACACGTGTTTGAAAAAAAATTGAAATTGCGCTAAAAATTTTCGATTCATTTTATAATTGTTGACACGCGATTATTGTACTTTTATGTCTATATAAAAGTTGAGTTTTATAATTTTGGACTTTGTAAGATTTGATATCACAAAAAAATGTGTATATGCATCAATTTGTTTTTAAAATTAAATTTAGCTGAATTTGGAAAATACCACAAGATTCGGAAACCGACACGACGCCTATAAATACTGATTCATTGCAAACACGTGTGGTGCCTGTTTGGATGCATAAATTCCGTCTTCTAGTTATCGAATTTGCGCTTCCATTCCCCGGTTCTGCCGTCGTGCAGAAGCTGAATGAAGTTTATTCGAGAACCAACAACCCCTCCTCGACTTCGTAGCTTGGCGCTAGCACAACCCTCCTTTGATGCTGAGTAGTACATATACACACTTGATCTTTGAGTTTCTTAATCATTAGGAGGGTACTTAAGACAGCTCTGTCGCCTCTGCGAACGCTGCTTCATCGGGTTTGTTGAGGGATCAAGACACATTCGAATAGATCGAATCGATAAAAACGATTGTTCTTTGATTGGAACTCTTGTTTCCTTGCTTGTATTCATTTGTTGACTTGAATTTCGGTTCGTTAACTGTTCAAATAGATTTAGATCGCGAAGAATATGTCGATTGACTCAGAAACGTGAAGAACACGCCAATAGACTTACAATTAGAAATGTGGCAGAAGGAAAAATGGGATACATGGTAACGACATATGGTGGATCACGTAACATGGTTTCCTTATCAGCCGACACGAACAAATGATACGGTGAACAGAAACTTTCCAGAATAATTAAGCTATTTGTATGAGATAGCCACGCAGAAGGGACTGTGTTTGCACGATTTCTAATGATCGGACGGGAAACATGTTCCACGTCCGACCGATTCGCAATTTGTCACTGGTGCCTGTCAGCTTACCGCTGACCAGAAAGGCGCCATTACGCCGGTACAACTCTTGTCATCGAGAATTCATTTCTTGACCAGAAGCTGAGATTGTTGGCATGAAGCCCGCCGCTAGTTCGCCTTCGCGATCGACACAGGTGTATTTTCAGAAAGATTTACCGCGACTGGAACGAGAGAGAACAAAAATAATACCGCGT